TAGAGCTATGTTTAAAATATTCAAGGTAATAAAAGACAATTCAGAGAACTGTAGAGGGAACAGGAAAAATTTTTGAAAAAATATAGAATTAAAAAATGAAAGCTGGCATAATGATATTAACATCAGTTAAAGTAGTCTTTAAGGCAAAAAAGAATTACCAGAAATACATAACACTTTAAAATAACTTTTAAACAGTTCAATTCACTAGGGATATAAATCATCTCTAAATTTGTTTTTTTCAATCTTCATTCTTACTAATCTTTATCTTGGGGCTGCAAATTTGGCTTTCACACTGGCTCTGAGCCAGTTGGAAAACCTGCCTTATAAGGTCTGTATTTCCCCTCCTTCCTACTTCAGACAAGGCAGCTGCGAGCAAATAGTGTGCTTATCTTGCAGAACCTCACTAAAGTCCACTAGGAGACTCCACCACCACCATCCCAATATTTTTTTTTATCAAGTCCTAGAGTACTAGCCTCGATGAACATGTGGTCAAATCCTGAGATAGACAGGTACCTTTCAACCTGCTTGCTTTTCTGCTAGGGAACAATAATACAATGATGACAGTTTCCTAACTGGGCATGTGTGTGTGTATGGGGAGAAGGGGAGGTGAGGGGGAAGGAAACGGGTGCAAGGGGAGGCCCTCATGTACCTCAGCTCACATTCCCCATTTGAGGACTGGCAACTTGCAATATGTCTTCATTGGTGGTCATTAGTCATCTTGGGCTGCTATGACAACATTCCATAGACTGTGGATGAAACAAGACATTTATTTATCACAGTTCTGGAGATTGAGAAGTCCAAGATCAAGATACTGACTGATTTGGCTCCCCAGTGAAAGCCTGCCTCCTCGCTTGCAGAGAGCTGCCTTCTCACTGTCCTCACATGGTGTAGAGCAATCATCTTTAAATTTGTATGTACTTGATGATATTGGCTCAAACTCGTATCAAACAAAAATTGACATAACTAGAATAGGCAAATCCAAAATCATAGTGGGATATTTTATCTCATAAATGCTAGACAAAAACTCAGTAAAGGTATGTACACTTAAACAGTAACACAATTAGCAGACTTGACCTAATGAACATAGGTAGAACAATTTAATAATTGAAGACTATGGATTTTTTACATGCACACTGAACATTTATAATACTTGACCATAGTGTGAGTCATGAAAACAAGTCCTACAAATTTCAAAGAACTGAAATCATACAGAAGATGTTCTGAATGCCATGCAACCTAGAAATCAACAAAACGGTAATGAGAAAATCCATGAGTATTTGGAAATTAATAAGCATACTACTAAGTAAACAGTAGCATAGAGAAACCAAAATGAAAATTAGGTATTTTGTTCTGAATGGTAATGAAGACTTCATATCAAAACTTATGAGATGCAGATAAAGATTATAAAGATTGCTATTGGTCAGCTAAGCAAACATACAACTGGAGGAGAGGAATAACAACAAAATAAATAGAAATAGAAGGAAGAAAATAAAGATAAAGGAGAGTTAAAAATATACAACAGGATAAAAAAAAAAAGCAGAAAGCTGATTCTTTGTGAAGATTAATGCAACTGGGAAACCTCTACTGAGACCAATTCAGAAAACAAGGCACTAACAAATACCAAGACTGAAAGAGACATCACTATTAATTCACTAAACTCAAAACATTATAAAAATAAATTTGAGAAAAATGTGACCAGCTGGAGAGGTGGAAGAATGGCAGGCCCGGAGCAGCCAGGCCCAGAGCAGCAGGGCCCAGAGCAGCAGCAGCCAGGCCTGGAGCAGCAACAGCTGGGCCCGGAGCAGTCAGGCCCGAAGCAGCAGCCAGGCCCAGAGCAGCAGCAGCAGAGGGTGGGGTAGGAACCTGGTGGAGGGGGGGGAAATGAGGAACTTTTGTAATAATATAACAATAAAGGTTTATTAAAAAATAAAATAAAATAAAATAAAAATTTGAAAATGTAGATGAAATGGACACATTCCTAGAAAAGTGGAACTCTTTAAGATGAACACAAGATACAAAAATAATATTATTTTAGCTATTGAATAAACCACATCCATATCTCAAAGAAAACATCACACCTAGTCACTGGCAAAATTCTATCAAACTTCAAAGTAAGAAGTAATGTCAATCTTACTTGTGTTATAACATTACAAACACCTTGTTAACAAAACCTAACAGACCTTCAAAAACAACTTAAGAGTAAATCCCACTGATGAAAATAGATGCAAAAACCCCAAATGAAATATTGGCAATCAAACTCAGCATTATATAAAAAGGATAATACATAACAATCAAATGCCTCATTCTAGGAATGTAAACTTGGTTTAATGTTTGCATATCAATCAATATAACTCACCAAGTCAGAAAAACTTTACGAACATCTTCATAAAATATAGAAGAAAAATGATTTGACAAAATTCAATCCTTTTATGATCTTTTTAAAGTTATCATAACCAGTTTATTATAAAAGCTATACATAACACACTGATGAAGAGGCCCATGGGGCAAGGTCCAGGGGGGTCCTGAGCACAGGAGCTCCTGTTCTTTGAGGAGTTGGTGTGCCAACATCATATATATATATATGCGTTTACCAATCCAGAGGCTCCCTTTCATAAGTAAAACGATATACATCTTGGGAACTGAAGTTTACTTCCTTAATTTGGTAAAAATAAAATAAAATAAAATAAAATAAAAATTAAAAAAAATCCAGAGTCTAGGACAAACACCATACTTAATGTTTAAAATTTTCACCTTTTTTGGAATTCCTAACAGGAATGCAGAAGGGCAAGAACAAGAAATAATGGAAGGGAACAGAAAGAAGAAATAAAGCTGCAATTATCTGTAGATGATTTATGTGAAATTAAAATAATTTCTATAAATAGGATTAACAAAATGTTTGGTAAGTCTGGTAAATACATCAATTGCTTTTATTGATTGCTCTGAAACTTTAAAATCACATATTGTTGGATTCTATCTCCAGATTTTCTGATTCAGTTGGTCTAGTGTGAGGATCAAGAATTTGCAGTTCTAACCAGTTTCTAAATGATGCTAATATTCCTAGTCAGGGGACCACTCTTCCAAAACTACTGTGATATTTTAGCAACAATGAAAATAAAATACCCAGGAATACAATACCCAGATATACAAGAATAAAATACCCAGATATACAAGACTATACAAAAACTATAAATCATGATGGATATAAATTAAAGAGGATCTAAATAAAGGATACTACAGATTGGAAGTCAATATTCTGAAGATGTCAATTTGCTTCAACCTAATCTACAATTTAATGCAATCCCATTCAAAATTTCCATAGGTTTCTTTTGGTGAATATCAATTAGCATATTTTTGAAATATGTATGAAAACATCAATAATTGTAAGTAAAGAATTTACACTTAAGACAAACTCCCGGGATTTGCATTGTGATTCCTCCTTTGGACAAATTACTGAACATTCTATAGTTCCGTTTTCTCATCTGTGAAGTGGGGAAGAACAATTATACTTATCACCTAAGATAGTTGTAAGGATTAAATATATATCGTTTAGATATGTGCCTGAAACACACTAAATAGCATGTATGAGTTTGATAAAGTAAAAATAGGGAGATGAAATCTACTGGGTGTCTTCTAAAGTCTAGAAGCAGACTCGTATATATGGGCACTTGGTTTATGACAAAGGTGGATCTATAGAGCAGTGGGGGAAAATTACTTTTCCAATGAAAGATACTGGGTGAGGAGTTTTTTTTTTGTTTTGTTTTGTTTTCAGTGTCATTATACAGACTAGGAAGCTCAGACCCTAAGAAATAAGGGTCACAGAGGCAGAGCTGGATTGCAAACATTGGCCTTTGCAGCCCAGGGTCTCCTAACGACATGAGGACGATACTCAGGAATTACTTGTTCAAAAGTCATCCTTTGGGTTCCCAGACAGAGGCTGTCCTTAAGTATGGAAATAGACAGGGTCTCAAAAACCTCGTTTTGGGAAAGTACCAAAAGGAGAGGAGCTAAGTGTGCTGGGGTAAGATTTGCTGCTGACCAGAGCACTTAACAGCCACGGCACTGGGTAACCAGTCCCATGCGAAAAAGCTCATCCTGCAGCTCAGATCCCAGCCCATCCCAGAGGCTGCCTACCTTCTGCCTTTGACTTTCTCCTCTCTGGCTCAGCCAGAGGCCCTGAGAATCAGACATGCAATTTAGCAAGTCTGTAGGGAGCACCTACTAGTTACTAGTATGCTTAGCAGCACCCGAGGCTCCTGTCCCACAGTGTCCTGGCATCTTTAGGGCCTACAGTATGAAACAAGCCATTCTGGACTCGTCCAGCACTGTCTAGAGAGGTCATTTTCCTTTTTTTGCTCTTAAAGACATTCACATTCACTGACCAAGGGGACCTCTCTGGAAACAGTGGTGCCCATTTCTGCCAGGCAATGTTCAGCCTCCTCCAAACCCCAGGCTTGCAATCTAGTGCATGTAACGATGGACCAAGATCAGACAAAAATCCCTGAACAAGCCATACTTCTACAGTCCTATTCCTGGAACTCTCACTGAGTCTAGACCAGCCCCAGTAATACTGAGAGATCAATCCCCATGCTCAGCTGAGTTATTTCCAATAAACTGTGACCTGCTCTGAACAGCTGCATGTGGAAGTGTGCCAAAGTGGTACAGCCTGGCTTTGGCCTGGGTACCGAGTAACTGAAGAGGCATTTTAGACCCTGGGGTACCTCCCAAAGATATTGAAACTTGATGAGGGTACCCTCTTGCCTCAAGCTCCCACCAAAGTCCAGAGGCCTCCCGTAGTACTAATGGGATAGGGAAGCAGAGAGAGAAGTCAGGGAAGAGACCGTGTGCCTTATAATTCCTGAGGTTGGTTTGTCTCGACTTGACTGTTTCTTCAGAGCCCCAGTGCCAAGGCCAAAGGCCTGAGCTGCCCATAAAGAAGAGGCCCATGCATCCCAAGAGCAGCTGAAACCAGCGCACACATTTATTTGACTGAAAACATGAAGGAAGACAACAAAATTAAACAATCTTTAATGAAATTCCTATAGAAAACTCAGTCGCAGGGCAAATACTCAGTTTTCTTTCCCATGTCATTGAGGACTGGAGATCCCAATAGTCTTTGGAAAATAAGCAGTAGTTTTGCTGGATGTTGCCAGTACTCAGAAAGAGCATCCATTTACACATTCAAACCAGTAGTTCCTATTGCACATATTAACAACATTATTTGCCATCTAGCACCCTAAATATATGGTACCTCAACAAATAAATTAAAGAATTCCATGAAACCATTTCATTTTCAACTAATACCCTTAAAAAAAAATCACATCATTATAAGTTTTAATAAATACAGTAAGAACAGCTGGCATTTTACTAAAATACTGAATTTTAGGCCTAAAGTTTATTTCATAAGAGTTTCCTTTTCATTTGTTTTCTGTCTTGGATACATTTGCTCAAGTATTATGCTCTATGAAGTGAACTCTTTTACAGATACAGTAAAATCTGTATTAATGTGTGCCTCAGTACAGAAGCAGCTGGAAGAACTGGATCACATAATTAACTAAAAAGTAACTTAGGGAGATGCTCTGTTTTCTGTAAAACAGAGGCTGAAGGAAAACAAACAAAACAAAACAAAACATATTTTTATACAGAACTCCTACTAGAAATTTTATAAATATATAGGCAGCAAATATATTATATTTGCCTCACCAGTAGATTTTCAGTATGTCTGACTGAGATGATGCTATCACGATAGATAAATATCAACAAAAGAATTAATGCTCCCACAGGTTTAAAAGATTTCTTTTGAAAAATAATCATAATCTCATATTATATTATAATTTGTAGTTTACACAATTTAAAAAGGAAGGAAGATACTGTTTTTTAAGCCTCATTTGGAAATTAAGAATAGCCACCAGTCCCCAGGCATGGATAAGTTGGCTGAGTGATAACACTTGGTCACAATTCATAAAAGAAGTATTTACACCTTTTTGGAAAAGTACCAAATAATGAAAATAAAATTTAAAAAGACAAAAAACAATCTCTAGTAGCATTCCTTGGCGTGCAAAGTCAGCAGGAAATGATTATCCATTATGTTGACAGTTTTCGTGATGAATCTTGGAAGCATACAAAAAGCAGAGGGTGGTAATTGGGGATTGTTCTGTTGATGCATTGTTCTTAATTGAACTGAGATTCAGAATTTCATTCCCTTTATAAAATCTCTGGTAGGGTCATGTTCAATTTAGTGCAAGTGCAAAATGAAAATGAAACCAAAGGCTGGTCATTAAGATCTGTAGTCTTTTCGAACCGTGTGGGCCATCCAGTTCACCTTAGTAGTCCAGCTTTCCCTGAGTGCCTCATCAAATTTTTGCTTAAATTGTTTGAGTGCTTCTTCTTCACTCTTCCCTAAGGCAAGTGAGTCCTAAAAATTGAAGGTAAAAAAAAATCAGATTTTATACATGTTCCCAAGTGATATGTAAATGTATGCAGGAAGCTTACTTGGCCATGCCAACCCAGCCAACATGAAGTTGTGAGCCTCATGTTTTTATTTTTATATTTATTGTTGACAGTATTACAGATGCCCCCACGCCCTCACCTCCACCCCACCTCCACCCCACCTCAGGCCTTCACCTCACTACTGGTATATGGGCTATGCATTTATGTTCTTTGGTTAATCTTTTCCCATCCTCCCACTGTCCTCCCCTCTAAGATCTGTCAGTCTAGTCCATGCAGACTAGTCTAGTCTCTGGACCTACTGTTTTTATTTAAATGCCACTTGCAGCAGGGAGCATGAACACCAAGGTAGGGTGATGATATGATCTCTGCCAAAGGGTTTTTGAAGATGTAATGAATTTATGATTACTGAAAGACAGCTACTCAAAGTGTTTGTCGCTACCACTCCTGATAAGAACTATCTCACTGAACATGACTTTGTTCCATTCCCTTTGAACATTTGAATGAAATAGGCAGGCATACTTGAACTATTACATACATAGAAAGGGGTTTATACCTTAAGATACTGTATATCCTTGACTGATGTGAGCTCAGGAAGCCCTGCAGTCAACATCAGTGCAAAGAGGGTGATGAAGAGGTTCCCATGCCGGCGTAAGATCAGATAGGCGTCCTCACAGCACTGGCGGAACCTTCATTGATGTGGCAAATCACAGGAGCATGACGTTAGCGGGGGAGATAGCAAATTAGTGTAAGAACACAAGAGAGACATAGCTAGACTTTCCACAAGAGCTGAACATTTTCTACTAAATTAATTAATAGTTCTGCTTCTTTGAAAACTGCCAGGACTAAAATTTACATAAAATAAATCAAGCTCTCTAAAATCACACTTTTATCTTTTCTCTTTAAAAAAAATTGATTTCTGCCCAAACTGGTTTGGCTCAATGGATAGAGCGTCGGCTTGGGGACCGAAAGGTCCCCGGTTCGATTCCGGTCAAGAGCATGTACCTTGGTTGCGGGCATATCCCCAGTAGGGGGTGTGCAAGAGGCAGCTGATCGATGACTCTCTCTCATCGATGTTTCTAATTCTCTATCTCTCTCCCTTCCTCTCTGTACAAAATCAATAAAATATATTAAAAAAAACTGATTTCTGAGAGAAAGGGGGAGGGATAAAGAGATAGAAATACCAATGTTGAGAAAGAATCGTTGATTGGCTGCCTCCTTCACACCACAACACAACACACTGGGGACTGAGCCCACAAGCTGGGCATGAGCCCTGACCGGGAATTCGAACTGACAACCAAGCGTGGCTTGGTTCCTGAGCCATGCTGGCCAGGCCACAGATATCTTTTTAAAAACCAAAACCAAACAGAAATTCTATGATAAAAGGCAATAAAAAAAAAACAAACTTAATTTAGGCTTTTAAATTCTATGAGGCAAAAAAAAAAAAAAAAGATAATAAAAACAAAGTGATAATTATAATCCATGAGGATTCCTGAACATACTTCTAGATTTGTGGCCTGATTCTAGAGATTTTCTTTATTGTCCCTGAAATCAGTGTCAATGCTTTTGTATTGGGCCTCCCTGTCATCCTTCCATCTTTCTCCCTCCTCTTCAATATGGTCATTCAAGAGGACCATCCAAAATTAACTTTGCCAAGGAAAAAAATGGACCCAGGGGTATATTATGTATAAACCCAGGCAGAACTAGCAATGATAATGATAATAGCAATTATTTAGTAAGGCTATAATATGAGTTGGTCACATCATATAACATACCTCTAATAATCAAAATAGCCCTGAAATTTAATTATTTTGTATCCATTTTAAGATAAAACAAAGACAGGCAGATAAGTTATGTGCTTGGAAACATACAAGGAGTGAGGCATAGATCAGAGATTACAAAGTCTACCCCTGAACCCTGGCTCCCGTACTGCACTCCACACTGAATAGCAGCCGAGGGCCTGTTCTCAGCATCTCACTCTCAAATGTCTTAACAGTTTCAGAGAATTTTCTAAGGGAGGAAAAGGTGATACACTATTAGAATTAAACACAGTAACTTATTTCAGTTTTGTAGTATAGATTCTCTTCTCTGAGTGTATCTGAATTACAACCTGGATCTAAAAGGCAAATTCCCCCCAAAACCTCCTATTAACAGACTATTTCCCAGACCAAAGAAATGCAAGGCCAGCTGGTCAGAGGAGAAAACGTCAGGTGTGATTATACCCTTAACATGAGGACAATACTCACCGGCCAAACTTTTCTGTGTTTCCTGTTTTTCCTTGTTGAATCACATGAATGAAATCATAGGTAAGAATAAAAGGCACTCGCTCCCTCTTAATGCCAAATTTAGACTTAAAATTTCCAAGAATATGTCCAAAGTCAATGTGAAAGAGCTGGAAAACAAATGGGATTTCATTTCCCTTATTTTTCTTGTGGGTTCTAAATAGAAAGGCAAGATCTCAGCAGTCCTAGGTCCACATATACTACACCCACCCTCAGCTTGAGCCCTTCTCTCTTTCCACAGCCTTCTTGGGAAAGAGCATGTCTAACATTCATAGGTCTTTTATATTCAGTAATAACCAATTATTTAGTAAGGCTATAATATGAGTTAGTCACATCATATAACATACCTCTATTAATCAAAATAGCCCTGAAATTTAATTATTTTGTATCCATTTTAAGATAAAACAAAGACAGGAAGAGAAGTTATGTGCTTGGTAACAGAATCTGCCTGAGTTTCACAAGAGACCATGCAGTACATAAGCAAGCATCCCTGAGGCCCTTGGCAGACTCTGGGGAATAGCTCACCTGGCCATTTTTTTTTACCATGATGTTGTCACTATGTCTGTCACCAATTCCAAGGACATAAGAAGCTACACAGTAGCCAGCACAGGACAGGGTAAACTCCTCAATGGCTCGGTCCAAGTCATCCCTGAACAAAAGAAAAAAATACAAGCAATAAATGTTTTCGGTCTCCAAATGAGAGAGGTAAGACCCGATCCTACACTTGTTTCCTCTTTAATTGTGAGAACTGCAACTCAGAGCTGCCAAAACTATATGATCAGAACTTGCTGGCTCAGCCAAGATGGTGAGGACAGTCATCACAGGAGCAGGACAGAGAGGAGTAAACATGAACAGGATGGCTTAAAGCCATAAGACTAGACTTCAGCCATTCAAATGACCGGGCCCTGGGGCCATGTTTCACTGAAGATGGGGGCATAGAAATGAGAGGAGACTATTAGCTTTTCTGGATAATGCTGAGGCTTTGGAACATTTTCGTCTGTTTTGACCTAACACTAGAATTCCATATTTAAGAGTTAAGTATTGCAGTTCCAATCATTCATGTCACTGACCTAAATTAGAATACAGACCCATTAAAGACAAGATCAAAATTTGTAAACTGATACATACAAGAGTTTGGATCTTGTCAATAATCAAATTTAAGTCTGATTTTGAGGTCTTTAGCTAAAAATACTTGGAAAGTGTTTTCCTCTTACTGTGTAATTTCTTAATTTCCTATTTATTAGGACTTTCCAATACAATAATCATAAAAAACACAGACCCAAGCACTTCATATTTTAGTGTGGAGAAATCAGTCTACAAACTCATTTACTTCTATTACAAAAATCCATTGAGAACTCACTTAAGCTCACACATTCACATAATTATAAAAGTTGATAAATATAAACAAAAATCTGCAAGCTCTTTTTAAAATACCTAAATGTTGGAATTTAAGATTTAGATAAAGTAGAATTAAACACTAATCATCTGTAGGACTTTAGGAAATCCTATTTGTCATTTTGATCTAACCTGAAATAAAGCAATAAATACATTAATATTTCCTCTAGGACACTGATGATTCTAAATGGGAGAATAGTTATTTGGCTGTTTGTTTGGAAAAACAATAATCAAACAAAATAAACTAACCCAGAATTGTATTCTTTAAGCCAGTTCAGAAGGGCATCTTTATTGAAGGCTGCTGCAGCAGCCACATTGCTACTGTTCAGCTGAATGTCAGCAATTGTTTCAGAGGTGCTCACAACTTCAATGAGGCCTGAGCGATCTCCTGTGGCTAAGCAGCCATAAGGCAACATCCTGAAAGGAAGAAAAAAAAAAAGGGGGGGGGGGGAATAAAGAGCCACATGTGTAAATTATCTATTAAATAAAATATTAACTGAGTAAGATTTTTCTTTTATTTTTAAAAACATTTTACTACTAATCTTGCCATTACTGTATTGCTCTCATGTGGAAAGATATGAGTTCTACCTCCTGTTAGGAAGTAAATCTCTTGGCCAACAGATAGAGTAATTTACTAGAATTCCAATATGCCAGCTAAATGTAAAATCTGTTATCTAGTTATTCTGGTGAAATATTCTATTAATTCACATAAGTGGACAGAAGTACATCAGATAAAAGTCTCATTTTTTACTCTAAATTTTGAGGAAGAAAACAATCCTTAATGGAGCACCTAAAAGGTAATGCAGAGCAAGATAAGTACTTCATATTAGCTTAGTTAATGGCAATTTCATGTGTCCAGATTCCAGCCCACAACCTTAAGGTCACCTTTTTGCTTTCTCTCATGCTCAACACTTACCTATCGTGAATATGTATATTGCCTCCATCGTTCCTTCTCCTACTACCCTAGTTCAAGTCACCATCAACACTTAATTATTCAACAGTTTCCTAACTAGTCTTCCTGCTTCCACATCATAGTTTTAGATGCAACAGTAACATAATCCACTTAAGATATACTTATAATGTCACCCTCCTGATGGAAATGTCTGCAATGGCTTCACACCTTGCAATGAAAGCCAATATAGTCGTCATAGCTCACAAGGACTTCAATCTACTACCCCTTTACCTTTTCTAGTGTCCTCCCCTGGGAAAGGTAGACTACTCTGGCTTCCTTTCTGTTCCTCAAATACATCAGGCACTAATACTCCCTCATTCCCTTAGAAGTGAAATTTTTTCTGCCTGGATCATTCTTTCCCGAGATATTTACATGACTTATTCCCTTGCCTTTTGGGCACCTTTGCTGTAATGTTAGCATCTCAGTGAAAAATTCCTGGATCATCCTATTTAAAATAGCAACAATACCTGTGGTACAACACTTGCTCTCTTCCCTGTTTTACTTTCCTCTATAGACCTCAGTACTATCCAGTATCCTGTACATTTTATTTGTAAGCTTACTGTCTGTATCCACCCTCATGGTGTAAGTTCCATTGGCAGGGATGCTTTGTTTATTGCAAAATCCTCAGTGCCTAAGAATGTGCTTGGCACAAAGCAGGCACTCAACAAATATTTTTAATGAATAAACATTTAGTAACAAAATCCCTATAATGTTAAGTTACCAATATTACACACGAGAAATAAAGTAATGTGCAAAAAGTCAGACATTTAACTAAGTAAAATATTCAATGCTTAAAACTATGTCTATGAGGCTCCAAAACTATCTTTTTAACCTTATATAGTTTCTAATGTCACTGAATATATGTAAGAAATCTGTAAGGCTCCTTCTTGTGCAAAATAATTTTCACCAAATTGATAAGAAGCATTTTGCTTTGATTTGCATTTTTATGACCCCTAGTGAAAATAAAACTTCTCGGCTCTCTTTTAGCCATTTTAAGAAGAATTTCTTTTGTAAATTAGCTATTCACATCTTTGCCTATTAGGATTTTATGTATTTTCCTTAGTGATTTATATTAGTTCTTTATATTATAACTAGAGGCCCGATGCATGAAATTCATGCACAGGGGATGGGTTGGGAAGGGGTGTCCCCTCAGCCCAGCCTGCACCCTCTCCAATCCAGGACCCCTTGGGATTGGACCTAAACCGGCAGTTGGACATCCCTCTCACAATCTGGGACGCTGGCTTCTAACTGCTCACCTGCCTGCTTTTCAGTCACTTGGTCACTACTCACTGCCACCCCCACTCCCCATCCCGCTGGCCTGGTTGCCCCACCCAGCCTGCTGTTCAGTCCTCACTAACCCACTGCAAGCCTTTTGACCCACCCAGCCTGCTGTTTTGCCTATTACTGTGAGAGCACCAATTTGCATATTACCCTTTTATTAGTATAGTTATCCTTTTCTAATTCTGGTTGTGAACATTTTCTCCAGTTTTCTAAAAACTTCATTAACACTACAACAATTCCAAAATGAAATGAGATGCCTTGAAAAGTTCACATGAAAGTCTGGTAACTACAGAAAATGAAATGGATGGAATTCATTGATTCATTAAGTATTTGGGTGTAGCTATGTGCCAAGCATTGTGTTAGCTAATGGTGATGCAGAAATGAGCAAAAATACTAGCTTTTCATCCAAATCACAAATGCACAATATACTACATATAATCTTTGTATGAATGAGAAGCGCCATAAGAATATGCCAAGAGTCAGATAAGATCTCTGAGAGGGGGAAGGTCAGAATGGCTGGAGGAGAGTGCAAGGGGAGCAAAAAGCAAGGTGAGGATAAGAAACAATCAGTGTTGGAAAGACCATGCAGGGATCTACAGGTCATGTAAAAGCTTGTCGTTGTCCCAAACTCACTGAAAAAGCCTTTGAAGGACTTTATGAGAGAGAGAGAGAGAGAGAGAGAGAGAGAGAGAGAGAGAGAGAGAGAGAATGTGCGTGTATCTGTAATCTGGGGAATGTGTGTTAGTGCATGTAACAATCAGATAAAACAAGAGAGTTTTAAATACTTCCTAAATTTTCTACCACACAACAATTCAAACAGTTTATGCCTCTTTTTTAAAAAAACTGAAATGACACGCTGGTTGGTTTTGCTCAGTGGATAGAGCATCGGCCTACAGACTGAAGACTCCTGGGCTCAATTCAGGTAAAGGGCGAATGCCCAGGTTGCAGGCTTGATCCCTAGTAGGGTGCATGCAGGAGGCAGCCAATCAATGATTCTCTCTCATCATTGATCTCTCTTCTCTCTCTCCCTCTCTGAAATCAATAAAAATATATATTTTTTTTAATTAAAAAAAAAACACCTAAAGTGGCCAGGGTTTTTTTTTGTGTGTATTTTTTTTTTTTTTAAACATATGCTCTCACTGATTTGAGGGAAAGAGGAAGGAAGAGGAATGGAGAGATAGAAACATTAATGATGAGAGAGAATCATTGATTGGCTGCCTCCTGCACCCCCGACTATTGGAGATCAAGTCCGCAACCTGGGCATGTGCCCTGATTGGGAATCAAACTGGTGACCTCTTGATTCCTGGGTCTATGCCCAGACACTGAGCCATACCTGCTGAGCATGTTTATGCCTCTTGAAGCACTTGCCTAATTCTAGCAAAATAAGGTTGAGAGCAGGGTTGACAAAGTACATGCTGGCAGTCTGGTATTACCAGTGGACTGCTTCATATCTGCATTATTTTTTAAGAATTTACCCCTCAATAAAAAAGGCAGTTATGGTGCATGAAAGGTTTTTACCAATTTCCTTATCCTTATCATGACACAACACATGTGAAGTAAACACTGCCGATTCAAGTGCACTCTGGCTCACTTTCCTGCATCTCCTCCCATCCTACTTGCAGCCACCTGGGCAAAAATCCAACAACTTCCCCTTCAAAAGCAGGCAATGATGAAAGCATTCAGTGTCTTGAGGATGTAACACTCACAATAGGAAGGAAAAAACACTCTTGTCTGAAAGACAGTTTGACAGAGTCAAGCTGGGGACAAATCCTGACTATCTTACAGGGCCTCCTGTGCACTCAACTTCTATACTTCTTATAAAGGCCTTGACAACAATTAGCAATATTTACCTTCCTTTCTGACTCTCTGACCCAAAGAGTGATTTGCTACCTTCTCACTAAAGAATTTAATAATATATTTAATTCTATAGTGGAGTGGCAGCTCGTTAACCCTACTCTGAATGGGTATGTAGAAAGTTTTCTCTGGTCTTGACTCTGACACATTGACCCAAGTCTCAATGGTACCTTAGCCCATTGTCTCCAAAGCAGGAGAGCATAACATCTTTACTTAATGATTTCATTAATTCAATCTTCTCCCTTCACTCTCAGACCACTGATACCAGTGTGATCAAAGAACTCTCTCTTACTAGGGAAGTAAACCCCATTAGTACAACTCAGATGTAAGACACAACGAAGACAACTATATATTCAAAATTTAATGTCACATGTATTTATGGGTGTGTGTGTGTGTGTGTGTGTGTGTGTGTGTGGAGGGGGTAAAGAGGGAGGACTGTCAACTTTAACAAAGGCTTGATAGATTTAAATGTAGAAAACATATTGGACTTGACAGAAAAGGCTATTTGTTGAGCAAAGGAGGTCAGGGTGTTCTAACATATTGATGGCTTACAAATGTTTTTATTTGAAATTAAATATGACAAAAAAGTACAATACTTTAAGACATCAGGGGAAAATGAAAATGAGAAATATGCACTTTGGTTCAAGCTAAAATGGCACTGTTACAAATACTAAAATATTCTGATCAAAATAGTGCTCTATAGAAGTTACATTAAATTTTAGATTAAACTTAAGAGTATGTGCTACGTGACCCAGTTTAACCTGAACAGCTGGCCAAAAGAAAAACAAACACAATAGAAACACTGGAGGCATGTATATTTATAGAAACAGTAAAAAATGTTTAGCGAGGAAAAGGTACTAGTTTGAAAATGAACTCAAAATAATTAAAGTCCTGCATATTTTTTTAAACATGGGGTCAGAGTACCAAAAGTCAGCAAAGATCTCTACACAGACAAGTTCCTTTTTCTTGTTAGACACACACTGCTTCCCATCTGGGAGACACCAGGTTTATTTCTAGCACTGCCTCACATGGGGCTGCCTTCCCTTTGCCCGAGGTCACAACGAACTTCAGATAATGCTAAACATACTTCACATTTGATCAGAATGTAAAATCAAAACTAAAAGAAAAGAACCTGGTTGGGGCTTTTAATTAGGTTGATGGAACTAAGGACAAAATCTTTAGCTCAGCCTTTTATAACTAAACTAGAGGCCCGATGCACGAATCTGGTGCACATGTGGTCCCGTGGTCTGGCCTGTGGGGATCCGGCTGAAATGGGCTCTCTGACATCTCCCGAGGGGTCCCAGTTTGCAAGAGGGCACAGGCCAGGCCAAGGCACCCCATGTGCACCAGGCCTCTAGCATGCATATAAGATCTTTAGTTAAATCTCTTCCTGCCCTCTCCCAACCCCTCTGAGATTCATCAGTCTGTTCTATGTTTCCATGCCTGTGGTTTCCACTCCTGCGTTGAGCAAATGCTCCCTGGTGGTCAGTGCGTGGCATAGCTACTAGTCAGCAGGGCGAATAGTTGGCCAGCCAGTTGAATGGTCAGCTGGTCAGTCGCTTAGGCTTTTATATATTTAGATAAGATTCATCATATGACCTGAATCTGTTCTTAGCGAAAGGAGACCACTATGTAGTTTCAATGCTGAATTTGAAAAGAATCAATGAGTTAGCCTGAGCCTGAAAAGTTTCCCCCATTTTTTTATGGTATGAGTAAAATAAAACATTTTTATTGTGGTTTACTGTTTTTGGAAGGGTCTCTAAACTTTTGCTGGGATGAGACAATATTTTAGATGCTGCAGACTATTAGGTTGCTATTCAATTCTGTTATTAATAGCATAAAAGTGGCCACAAACTATCAGCAAATAAATGGATTTGGTTGTGTACTAATAAAACTTTATTTTTAAAAAACCAGCTTAAATCCCTCTGGGTTTATATCCCTCAGGCAGAGTTTCTCACAATCACCATGCCTTTTATCTATGCAGTATTTTTTATGAGTGGTTGACCAAAAAACTTGTTTCCTACTCAAAATTATTAATTCCATTTTACCCAGCTGTATTAGAAATTCCTCCTAATTAAAAAACAACACTATAATTTATGGTGTTAAAAGGGTCTTTTTTAGATGAACTATAGAATCTCTCTTCCTTATTCCAATCACATCTACAAGTCTCATGAAAACAATAATACCTGTGCATCGTTCTTTCTACCTCAACAGCATAGCCAGTTTACCGTGTGAGGATTTAAGACTAGAAAACTTTCTAAAAAGAGAGTGAGAGAAAGAGAATATCAATGGGAAAAATACATACTTTTTGGGTACCAGAACACTTGGATAAATAAAAAATTACTATAAAGCCCAACTGGTATGGCTCAGCAGTTGAGTGTTGACCCAGGAACCAAGAGGTTACTGGTTCAATTCCCGTTCAGGGTACATGCCAAGGTTGCAGGCTTGATCCCCAGAAGGGAGCATGCAGAAGGCAGCCAATCGATGTTTTTCTCTCTCTCTCTCAAAAATCAATAAAAACGTATTTTTAAAGAAGGGGGAGGTATCAGATATATCTTACCATAATTGTTTTCTCGTTCAGACTGATAAAATAATAGAAAGACATCAAGTTTAGAGTCTAACAGCTGGATTTGAATGTGGCTCTGCTAATTAATATTTTTGTAAGTTTTGACAAATTATTTAACATCCTTTGATCCTTAATTTTCTCTGCTATTAAAAAGGAATAGCACATCCTATCTGGTTTGGCTCAGTGGATAGAGTGTCGGGCTGTGGATGAAGGGTCTTGGGTTTAATTCCGGACAAGGGCACATACCTGGGTTGCAGGCTCGATCCCCAATAGGGAGTAGACACATTATAGTCAAACTGTCAAGATTAAAAAAATAGAGCAGACAGGCTCAGTGGATGACAGTTGACCTCTGGACCACAAGGTCATGATTCAATTCCTAGTCAGGGCAGATGCCTGAGTTTCAGGCTCGATCTCCAGTATGGAGCATGCAAGAGACAGCCGAACAATGATTCCCTCTCATCATTGATGTTTCTATCTCTCTCTCATTCTCCCTCCCTCTCTGAATGCTAAATATATGCTTATTAAATCTGAACATCAGAATATAAAACCTGCTGTAAATTTTCTTCTGTACTTTCATGTTTGAAACAGTCCACAATTAAAAGAATATAGAGAATTAGGTAAATGATAAAGTTAAATATTATTAACTAGCATTTTAAAAGTTTAAAAACTGCATGGACCTATGCTATATCATGAAACATGCTTAATGTGTTTTTTTTCCTCCTTGAGTAAAAGAGATTACCATTGTAGAAAACTAGAGAAATAGATACACAAAGGGGGTGGAGTGAGGTGGAAAGAGGGGGATCATTTCAGTCCAACCACCTGAAATGACTATTGACATTAGTTTCTGTCAACATCAGTTTGCCATTACTTAGTTAATCTTTACCATGGTTGAAATCTATATAATAAAAGCCTAAGCGACTGTTATGGTAGAAAAACCAGAATGACTGGTCACTATGATGCGCACTGACCACCAGGGGCCAGATGCTCAATGCAAGAGCTGCCCCCTGCTGGTCAATGTGCTCCTACAGGGGGAACACCGCACAGCGAGAAGCTGGGCTCATGGCTGAAGAGAGCCTCTCCCACCTCTGCAGCAGCATTAAGGAGCAGTGAGCTGAGCGGTAAGGAGCAGCGAGCAGGCAGGTGGTAAGGAGCAATTGGTCCTATATTGCAAGAGGGATGTCCACCTGCCAGCTTAGGCCCGATTCTTGGGGGTCTCGAACTGTGAGAGGGCTCAGACATCCCCCTCAATGCACGAGTATCGTGCACTGGGCCTCTAGTAATTTTATAAAAATACTTTTGCATCAAATACATTTGATATTTAAAGGGAATCACTTTCTCCAAATTGTTAGCAATTTTTAAAACAATATTTTAAAAATACCTGACGATATCTGGTCAGACTGGGAAAGCTAGGAATTTTTTTAAAGTGTTATCTTACTATTGAGCAAATATTCAAAAGGACAGTCCAATTTTAAAATTTGTATATAAAGCAAAGGTAAATATCTTTGTGCATAAATCTCTTTCCAAATTTCTAATTTTAAAATTCTGGAAATATTAGATACAGGGTCTAAATAAACTTGCTACACAGAGAATTATATTAATTTACAGTGGTTTTATCATCTGCTCTTTACCTTAGAATATTTGATAATTAAACTTTTAAAATCCAGTATGTTTCCTTTTTTCTGTTGCCATAGCCTTTCCTCTTACTGTCCACCCTTAATAATGATGGTATCTTAAAAGCCCTAAAAGTTTACCAAAACTCTTGGCTCTCAGGAAGGCAGAGAAAATAATGTTACTAGGCTAAAATGAAGGGCAATCCTTTCACTGGCCTTGTCATATCATAACCATGTGATTCATCCCTAAAAGTAAACAGATTCTTTCTTTCTGAATTCACCATCACAAATCTAGTTCTACACTTGATGAAGTTTAAATAAGACAATATATATATTTTTAATATATTTTATTGATTTTTTTTTTTTTTTTTTCAGAGAGGAAGGAAGAGGGATAGAGAGTTAGAAACATTGATCAGCTGCCTCCTGCACACCCTCTACTGGGGATGTGCCAGCAACCAAGGTACATGCCCTTGACCAAAATCGAACCTGGGACCCTTGAGTCCGCAGGCCGGCGCTCTATCAACTGAGCCTGTTAGGGCAAATAAGATAATATATTTGAGAGTACACTGAAAACTATAAAAAGGTATATAAATATAAAAATTAATAACAGGAGGGAAGGAATCAATAAATTTAAAAAATTCTGCTGTGAAAGGAATATAACAAGAGACAAAAATAATTCACTAGTGTCTGGCCAGTTTGGCTCAGTGGATAGAACACTGGCCTGTGGACTGCAGGGGCCCAGGCTCAATTCCTGGTCAGGGCATATGTCTGGGTTGTGGGCTCAATCCCCAGTGGGAGGTGTGCAAGAGACAGCTGACTGATGACTCATTATTGACGTTTCTTTCTTTATTTTTTAAAAAAATATATTTTATTGATTTTTTTACAGAGAGGAAGAGAGAGGGATAGAGAGTTAGAAACATCGATGAGAGAGAATCATCGATCAGCTGCCTCTTGCACACCCCCTACTGGGGATGTGTCTGCAATGAAGGTATGTGCCCATGACTGGAATCGAACCCGGGACCCTTCAGTCCGCAGGCTGATGCTCTATCCACTGAGCCAAACCGGTTTTGGCCATTATTGATGTTTCTATCCCTCCCTCCCTCTCCCTTCTTCTCTGAAATCCACAAAAATATATTTTAAAAAACAACTTGTAACTAATATTTAAAAAAATAATAATAATAATTCACTAGAAATCTCACCGAAGATCCAGACCGGCTTCTTTCCAGAGTAAATCCATCAAGCGCAGAATTTGGAGTGTTAACATATCCTGTCGTAAATCTAAGAGAAAAATCCTGCATTATTACAAATGTTTTCCATTTTATAATTGCTAACATTAATTTAAGATTAGCAGCTAGAATTAACTAAAACCATTGGCAAATGCTCTGATAATTTCTCCCCCAAAGTTTTAAAGTTGATCATATTCATTAAGAGGTTTGTTGGGGCCCTGGCTGGTTTGGCTCAGTGGATAGAGCCAAATATCTCTCAGCCTGCGAACTGAAGGGTCCCAGGTTCGATTCTGGTCAAGGGCACATGCCCAGGTTGTGGGTTTGATCCCCAGTGGGGGACTTGCAGGAGGCAGCCATTCCATGATTCTCTCTCATCATGGATGCTTCTCTCTCTCTTTCCTTCTTCCTTCCTCTCGTAATCAATAAAATTAAAAAAAAAAAAAAAAAAAAAAGGTTTGTTGGTTAGCACATTCCAGTAACACAATTTCAAAAACAGAGTGTAGCCAAAACCAGTTTGACTCAGTGGATAGAGTGTCGGCCTGCGGACTGAAAGGTTCCGGGTTCGATTACAGTGTAGGGCATGTACAAGAGGCAGCTGATTGATGATTCTCTCTCATTGATGTTTCTAACTCTCTATCCCTCTCTCTTTCTCTCTGTAAAAAATCAATAAAATATATATTTTTTAAAAACAGTGTAAAAATAATTTAGTTTACTATGTGTAAGCTACTCTACTAATTATAATACAGCTTTAACACAATAATGTTGTATTAAAGCATCCACACTACTTTTTTTCCTTCTGTTTTAATTTTAGTGATACACAGGAAGCTCTCAAGAATTACTAAAGTAATAACTGCATGATGCGTTCACAAAACAGTAATAACTTATTTTATTTATGATGTCCAGGAGTAATTTTCAGGTAATAGAGGCTGTGAAAGTAGTGACTTCTACATAATGACACTCATATGGTCAAGTGATGTTAAATGTCTGGCAAAACACTACAACTTCTTTTAAAAGTAACTGTAAGCACATATTATGCTAAGCACATTTACTTGTTATCTCACTTAATTCCTGTTAATAACCCAATATATACATGCTATAATCCTCATATAGATGAGGAATCTGAAGCTCAATGAATTTTGCATGACTGCAGTTGCACAACTAATAAGTGGTAGCACTTGGTGTGAATACTTCAGTGGCATGCCCTTTATAAAGTATGGGCCAGTAAAGTTTTTGTTGTGTTTTTTAAAGACTGATTTTTAGAGAGAGAGGAAGGGAGATGGAGAAAGAGAGAAACAGCCATGTGAAACATTGGTTAGCTGCCTCCTGCACACCTCTTACTGGGGATCAAGCCCACAAGCCAGACATGTGCCCTAACAAACACTCGAACTGGTGCAAAGAATGACGCCCAACCAACTAAGCCACATCTGTTAGGACTCAGTAAGGGATTTTAAAAAACAAAACTATGGCAGCAATATCAAATTGTTATCACTGAATTAAGATGTATGAATATATTATCGGAAATATTCTGTTGTATTTCACAAGCTTTTTACGGAATAGACTTTGTATTTTTTAGGGAGGAAGAGGAAGATATATTGTAGAACAATGTATGTAAGCTGTAGAAGTCAATTTCCAAAAGAGGGTGAATTCAACCTCCCGACCACTGATAGCTATCTCTTTTGGATGCCATTTGCTGTTATACATTTCAGATAAAGAAATCGACAACAAAAGAAGAAATACTAAGAAATTTGGCACTATAAAAACTTTAGTACATACCATCACCATTTTTAAAAATCACGCCGACTGAATCCTCACCAAATATCTTGTTGTTGTATACCAGCCACAACGGCTTCATTTTAGAATCCATGTATTTACACTTTTCAACACTGAAATCAAATAAAGGGAAAATTAGCCCACTTCATTTTAAAGACAAGACAAAATTACAATTTTGCTGCTGTCGAGGAAGAACACCCTCACCTGTTCCAGTCTACAGAAGTCAGAACTAGAGCATTTCCTCTTGGCAGAAAAGCAACCTGGATGAAGTGATGCCGGATGGGCGGAACTAAAAACCCAGGTTTATCCTTCTTACTACCTTACATTTAAAATTCCTCCTTTCTTTTCCTTATTCTTCTGTATGTTATGTATAGTTAATAATATTATTAAATTAAAATTATTAAGAGTTCATTCTTAATTTCTTAAAAAGGGGTCAATTTTGAATACTGATATACTGAATACATGTTATTACTTCTCCATTATTGCTTCTATAGAGAATGAAAAAGTGAGAAATAATTTTCCAAATTTATTCAAGGCCTCATTTTGAAATCGGAAAGCTGGTTAGTAAATAATTTTAAAATAAGTTAATTATCAAATGATGGATACCAACATATTTACTTACATAGGATTTTCAACTCTTAGAAACCAGTAATAGAAAATAAATTTAATTACTAGTATATACACTTGAAAGAAAGTTAACTTGAAATAACTTGCACTAACTCCACAGGTAAATTTAGCTAGCAGACATACATCCTATTGAACGCAAGAATAACCTTTGAGGACATTTAAGATTTTCCTTCTTTAATTATATTCCACTTATTGGTGCTAATACGTGGCCCCTTTCCTCCTCCAAGGCAGTTACTTAGAAATCCTTTATTGCTGTTTTCCACTGAACATAGCACAGGCTGTCACTTACTAGAGTTCTGAGAGGATGACACATGGGTTCAGAGGGGACTGCAGGTCAGAGAGGGCTTCCCGGTAAGCATTCTGTTTTAAACAAGTGTGCATGGCCTCTTTGCCTTTGGCTCTGTTTAGCTTCATTGCATTCAGTTTGATTAAACTATTTAAAGTTTTTAATTTATTGAGTGCTTCAACCTGAAAAATAAGTTTCCCCACCACCAAAATTAATTCATGATTAAAAATAATACAAAATACTATGACACAATTTGATCATATTAATCAGCAGCCACTCAGAACACATCCCCAACCCCCCACACACAAACCAGCTAAAGTAAAAACAGTACTTGGCTTAGGAAAAACAGATACAACAGCATAAAAAACTTACTTTTATCACTTGTTACTTAAAACATCATTTTTCAAACTTTCTTAAACCCTTTTCTTAAATGGGATCTTATCAATCAGGAAAAAGAAAAGGGACATAGATTATGGATAAAAAGATAAGTATAAAACTTAAAACTACATAGAACTCTGCAACTCATTAAGTAATATAATTTAAAACAAAACTAACCTGAACCACTCCATTTAGAAACTCCGTAGTTTAAGAGGAAAATTTATGTACAAGTAACTTGGGGTTCCTAATATTCAACCTTACTACCTGCTTCTTGTCATCATTCTTATATGACATCTTCTCAGTATATTCTCTTTCCATTAATAGTATGTTAAAATGGATTTTTTTTGTGTAATAAATAAAAATACAGACACAGTATTTTTTGTCCAAATCTAAATTAATGACTTGTTTTTATAATGAGGGCACTGGCTATCAAAACTTTTGGCTCAGAGCATTGGCCTGTAGATTCAAGAGTCCGAGGTTTGATTCCAGTCAAAGGCATGTACCTTGGTTGTGGGCCCAGCCCCAGTGGGGGGTATGCAGGAGGCAGCTGGTCAATGTTTCTCTCTCATTGATGTTTCTAACTCTCTATCCCTCTCCCTTCCTCTCTGTAAAAAAAAAAAAAAAAAAAATCAATGAAATATATTTAAAAAAAAAACAACTTATGCAAATAAAAAAAGTTTATGCAAGAAATACAAGGTCAATCAACAATGGCCAACTTAATCAAAACTACTGTATTTAAAAGGTAACTTTATCTGACTGAGGGTCTTTCCATCATGTTACATAAAATTCCCCTAAGTCAGCTTGGCCAACCACAAGTCAAAATAGTTTATCATATGGCATTAAAACTGGAAACAACTAATGATAAAAACAAAGTATGCATAAGTTGTATATAACAAACATATAAAATATGTATACAAAAAAACATTATGAATACCATGGCTTGAATTTCCATGAACATGAGATTTATTTTACATATTTTCATTTTCAAACTCTGCTCCTATTCAAAAAAACTACTAAGACTCTGTAGGGAGGTGAATTCAGGCATACAGTTTTTACACACAGGCTAGGGGCTTACACACAGGAAACTGGGAAATTTCTATTAGCTTGATGATAAAATTGAGATGGCTGACCAACCTGCCAAGTTAGTCATCTGTCAAAATCACAGACACTTCGTTTCTCAACAATTCCAGAAGCTGTACAAACAGTGATGAAAAGGGAGCCAGCTAAAAAGTGGGCTATGCAAACAGGAACTTTTAGAAGTATTTCAAATTTTAATTTCTTCCATGTTTGTACAGTTGGGAATTTTCATGCCCCATCACTAATGTGTTGATATCCATTTCCTGGAACAGTGTCCTGAATACCCATATGGCCATAAATGCTGCAACGTTTTTAGCTTTACAGTGAAAACAAGAACTGCCATGTAAAGGGTAGTCTTCCCCTTGCAATTCTTCAGTATAGATAAAAAAATAAGACTAATATAATCATACATATGTCATATGATTGCTGTTTTAAAAGTCAAGCTGAGGCCCCAGAGAACCAAGAAGATGTCCAGTGTGATTTGAGCATATGAGTGAAGCCAAAGAATTAGAGACTTCATCAAGTGTGGCCTTACAGATTTCGACAACAAGTCTGAATTTTTATTCTCCATGCAATAAAAATTACTGCAGGGATTTTAAAAAGGGAAATGGCATAATACACCTACATTTTAAAAACATAGTAACTTTCTCTGTAAAGAAAAGGGGTGAAGGCGGGGGGGAGAATGAAAAAAGGGTGCAATTTAGGATGTTAATGAAGACATACAGGTAAGAAGGTAATGGATGAAACTAGGGTGGTAGCCATGAAAACAAGATACATAGATAGGTATGAGATAGATTTAAAGGGACTATAAAATTAAGGGGATTAATAGTATCAATCTCAGATTGTGAAGAATAAATGGCCCATAATAAGTGCTTAGCTATTATTACCATCATTAAAGGGCTTTCCAAAAAGGGAGGGATCAGATATAATTCATTTCAACATGAATTAAAAGGTCATCAATATTAAAATTATCTCTGAAAACCTATGGGAGTTTCTCTGGCAATGCAAATAAGTTAGAAAAGTGCAGTGGCTATGAATTTGCTTCCCTGCATTCAATGCTTCTGCTAAAACTACCATCCATGGACTTATAGAACACCTTATCTATCATTGAGGTATTTAATATAGCATTGCTTCTGAACAAGAAAATGAAATGCAGCAATGGGCTTGGTGCTCATGGAATTCACTGGTCTTACCATATTCCCCACCACCCTAAAGTAGTTGGCTTGATAGAACAGTGAAATGGCCTTTTTAAGACTCAGTTACAGCACCAGCTATGTGGTAATACCTTCTAGAGCAGGGGCAAGGTTCCCCAGAAGGCTGAATGTGCTCTAAATCAGTGGCCAATATATGGTGCTGTATTGCCCAGAGCTCAGGTTCATGGGTCTTAGAATCAAGATGTGGAAATGGAGATGACACCACTATTACTCTCATGGTAATCCACTGGCAAAACTTTTGTTTCCTGCTCCTGTGACCATATGCTCTCCTGGCATAGTTATCTTAGTTACAAAGGGAAGAATCTTCCACTGGAAGACACACAATGATGCCATGGAACTTGAAGATTCCTTTCCAGCCATTTTGCAGTCCTCATGGGAGAACAGGCAAAGAAGAAGGGCGTCACGAAGCTAGCTGGAGAAATTGACCCTGACTACCAAGGTGCAATTAGCCTACTACTCCACAATGGAGGTAGGGAAGAATACGTCTGGAATATAGATCACTTGGTATTATCAGGCTCTGTGATTAAGGTCAATGGAAAATTATAAACCAATCCAGGCAGGACTACACTCTTCAAGAATGAAGGTTTGAGTCATTCCAGCAGGTAAAAAAAACCACAACCAACTGAGGAACTTGCTAAAGGCAAAGGAATTACAGAATAGGTTGGAAGAAGGTAGTAATAAACACCAGCTATGACCATGTGACCACTTACGAAAATGAGGATTGTTATGAATATCTCATTTTGTTATGTGTTTGTATGTGGTATGTTTTTAGAAAATGTCTGTTTCTTCTTGCTCTTATTTCCTTATCACAAAACATAAGATAAATTGACTTTATATTAGGGTATTTAAATGTTGTTAATTTTACATCATAGTATTTAATTTACAGTATATCAAGGAGAAGAATAATCACCATTCAAGGAACCTCCTCTTCTGGGAAAGAGGTCATTTTTTTCTTTTAATATATATTCTATTGATTTTTTTTTACAGAGAGGAAGGGAGAAAGATAGTTAGAAATATTGATGAGAGAGAAACATCGATCAGCTGCCTCCTGCACACCTCCTACAAGGCATGTGCCCACAACCAAGGTACATGACCTTGACCGGAATCGAACCTGGGACCTTTAAGTCCGCAGGCCGATGCTCTATCCACTGAGCCAAACCAGTTAGGGCGGTCACTCATTTTTAATTATACTCAGGGTAGTTGTATCAGGTTAGGTGAAATTTTGACCTTGTTATTGCCCTTATTTGGAGATTAAGTATGATTTAACATTCTGCATATGGATGCTTCATCTGCCATAGTTAATTTGACTGAGCAATGGAATGTTCAGAAATTTATCCAAAATTATTCTGGGTGTGTCTGTGAGGGTGTTTTCAGGTGAGATTAGCATTTGAATCAGTAGACTGAGAAAAGCAAATTGCCATCCCCTATGTGAGGCTTGGGCCTCATCCAAGCATGAAATTTTGAATATAACAAAAGGCATACCCTCCTGTGAGAAATTCCACCCGTCTTATTGCCTTGAATGTGGACAAAGGTCTTTTCCTGTTTTTGGCTTGAACTGAAACATGGGCTCTCCTTAGGTGCCACGCTTATCTACTTTCAGAATATTGGCTCTCCTGGATCTTCTGCTAAAATTGTTGAAACTTCATTTTTTTATTTAAATTTTTATTTTTAAAAATATGTTAACAAGATTCAGTTACTAAAACCTCTATAAGTAATGAAATGGAAGAAATTATACAATTTGTCAAGTTCCATGTGGCAAATTGAATATGAAGATTCTCATCACTGATGTTTCTATCTCTCTCTCCCTCACCCTTCCTCTCTGAAATCAATAAAAATATATTTAAAACAAACAAACAAAAAACAAGCTGATACCTGCTTGGAAAGCACTTTCATGTGCCCTACGCTTCCCCGGCAGTACGCTTCAAGGATGACACCAAACTGTATGGAGATAGCAGGAATGTGCACTTCTGATCTGCAGAAAGTTAATATTATGATGGTTTATCAAACACTTCAGATTCACCAAATGAAAGTAATGACTTCTTTATTCTATTACTAGAGGCCCAGTGCATGAAATTTATGCTCTGGGGGTGGGTGGGGGGGTAATCCCTCAGCCCAGCCTGCACCCTCTTGCAGTCCGGGACCCCTCAGGGGTTGTCCACCTATCGGCTTAGGCCCGATCCCCCTGGGCCCAAGCCAGCACTCAAGACATCCCTCTCACAGTCTGGGGCTCTCCTAGCCCAGGACCCCTTGCTGCTTACTGCGGCGGAGGCAGGAGAGCTCCTGCCACTGCCGCTGCCTCGCCAACCATGAGCTTCTGGCTGAATTGGGGGAGAGGGGGGAGAGGGGAAAGGAAATGCCGCTCAAACAGTAGCTGGCTTGCTGCTTCTTAGTGCTGGCCCCGCCCTCCTGCCCACTGGTGGGGTGGGGGCTAGCCAGGAGAGGGGCCATGGGAGGTTGAGGCTCCAGCTGTGAGAGGCTGAGGGGTTGTGGTAGTGCCCCATCCCACCTCTTCCCCACCTCTGTGGAGATGCTGGGACCACGCAGCCCTCTCTCCCACTGTCTCTGGGGAAGGGGAGCACTGGGACCAGGCCTGCACCCCGCCTCTCCCAGGGTGGCAAGGCTTGGCCCTCTCAGCCCCAGCTTTGTCTGGAAGGTCATCCAGAAGGACATTTGGCTGTCCTCTCTAATTAGCATATTAGCTCTTTATTATATAGGACTAGAGGCCCAGTGCACAAATTTGTGCACAGGTGGGGGGTCTGGCCAGCCCTCTATGATCAGGGCAGATGGGGGCCTCAGGGCCAGCTGGCCAAGGGGAGGGGACGTGGGAAGTTGGCCAGCAGATCCCATCCCTGATCAGGATCAGGGGAGGTGATTGGGGGCGGGGTCAGTTAGGAGGAGGGGTCACAGGAGGTTGACTGGCTGGCTGCAGTGAGTGTCATGGCAACCTAGTTCCAGTCATCCAGTCACTTGAATTTTATATATATGGATAAAATTAACTTATGATGCCAACCAAATGAAAAAAAATATCCTCTTGCTAAAATATTTTAGTGAGATTTCAATTCTTTAAACATCATAGTACAAAAAGGTATGAAATTTTATAGTTACTTAATTCTTCCAAGAAATCCAAATATTTTACATATTACCTTATTTGCTTTTTAGAGTGAAACGGTAATATTACCAATTTAGAGATATTTACAAAGATCTGACTCATCTCACACAATTGACTAAATCTCTCAACTAACTTCTATTCAATTTTTCTCACTTAAATAATGTTTATATATTTGAAACAGGAAGGAATACCTTAATCCCTGAGATGTTTGTAAAACACTTAACTTACCTAAGGTGCCAAAATAGGAACTGCCCTATCCTCCGATTAGCAAGTGCTCTTTCTAATAGGAATCTAGAGAGGGCACAATCGAGAAAAGGCTCATATTTTAAAACTTGCACCAGTTGTAAAAGATATTGCGAGAGTTCTTCATCACTGAAAAAAACAAGACAAACAAAACACACACAGTAAGTCACTTAACATCCTGTGCCAGAAAAAGATCCCTTCCTATCAAACTACTGAGTATTAACTTTCTGAAGCACAATGGTTCTTTTGGGTCAGGCTTGTTGCATGCTTCCATTCATTTTAGTAACACAAGAAAAGCTGAAGATTTCAGCAAGAGGGAGAGTGGAAGGGAGCAAAGCACAGATATATGGGGCATTTTTATTAAATTATTTAGGATGAGACAAGAGATGATTGTACTTATAATCGGCCAGAGTTATAATAAAATTCAGTACTAACTTCTGGTCATGTTGAAAATGTTGTGTACTCAGTCAAGCAATCATTTTAAAACTATGCCAGTACTGTGGTAATTTATTTTCCTCTTCTATGATTAGGATTAAGTAATTCTTTCTCCCAGATAATGAATGTACAATTAAAATCTTAACTTTAAGTAGTCTGAAGGATAAGAAAATGAGTGCATTTGTGAGTACCGAACCACTGAATTAATAAAACATAATATCGTAATTAACATGAATTGAATTAATTAAGGTTAGTGGTTCTCTATTGGATGTCCATCCCAAAACCATTCACATGTAAACGCACTCCCATCAGAGGCAATTCCAGTAGTCCGGTAAGATATGAATTTCAAGTCCACAACTTACAAGTAAATGCCATAGATTTCCACACAGTTTTGACCAAAGGGGACTGTACAAGAATATTCACTGCAGGATTGCTTATAACAGACAAATCAAGAGAAAACTTAAAGTGTTCCTCAATAGGGGAATGAAATAATTAAGACATATCCTTATAACAGAATATTACACAGTGGTAAAATAAACTACATTTATAATGAGAGAGACTGACCTTAAAAACCTAATGTTGATTTTTTTTTTTAAAGCGAAGTGCAAAACAATACACACAGCAAAACACATTTGTGTGAATTTTAAATGTATTATATTATCATTCTGTATGTATATTTTTATAGATATAGAAGTGTGGTAAAGCAGAAAGTGTGGTATAGAAGGATAAATATCAAATTCATGATTATGGCTGTCTCTGGAAAATGAAAGTAAAAATCAGGGCTCAGTTAGGAAACTACAAGGACTTCATCTTTAACTGTAATGTTATTTACTTAAAAATTAAAATTAAATAATCATTACAAAATATTAACATTTATTAATTCTGAGTGGTAGATAGAAGTTAACACAGCATGCCTAACTGCTATCCTTTGGAAAAGGTTGGCCCTTGGCAGCATCTGGAAACAGATTTAAAAGGCTTTCTACCCACCTAACAGAAAAGAGTAGCTCAATGTGCTTAACTGTGCAAATAGTATATTTTATGTTACATACCCATTTTTCTTCTGGAACTCTAGAATTTTGGTTTGTGCTAGATAGAGGGTGCTTATGTGATTAGCAACCAAGTCTCTAATGCTTCCCTTGTAGACATTTCAAACGTGTGTTTTCAACTCATTACTGGGGGAAATTAAGTGTATTTAGTTTGATTCCACTGGGAAAGGAACCTTAGAAACTTGCCTGGTTTCCTCCAGACTTTGCCCCATGAATCTTTTTCCTTTGCCAATTCTGCTCTGTATCCTTTTGCTGTAATAAATCATAACCAAGAGTATGATTATATGCTGAGTCCTATGAGTCATCCTAGTGAATCATAGAACCTGAGGGTGATCGTGGGACCTCTGATCCAGTATGTTTTGTTTTACAATATAGAGTAAATGCAGAGAGAGAGGAAGGGAGAAAGAGAAAACAAATGCTTTAAATTCTGAATAATTTCTACCCTTTTGCTTTCTTATTAGATATTCAAGCAGGCATTACCGTCTCTATACACACCCAAGTAATCCCTTGCCCCCCAAAAAGCCAACTGCAGGAGATACCTCATCTGTCGCAGGCAGCCTACAGCATATTCCCGAACATACTGATCTGGATAGTTGAAATCTAGAAGCTCCAGGGCCTCCCGAGGAGGTAGTTTAGGCCAAATCTGAAGTAGTGCCTGAAGCTGTTTAAAAATTGAAACTGGTTCAGAAATTATAGGGGTTAGGAGAAGAGATGGGTCAAAAGGAAAAGCATACTTGAAATTACAGAGGCCTCAAAAATCCATTCCTGTTAATGTGGCACAATAAAGACTGTCACAGTTGAAATATTCTATAGATAGGCAGAAAATAAAAGCTATTAAATACTTACTTGGAAATAGATGATGCACTGAATATATGAATTCTACAATCAATGACCATTAAATAATTTTAAAAGAAAGAGAGGATGAGGAAGAGTACGTGTGCACAAAATTATCAAGAAATACTTAAAGGTAAAATTCAAAGTACAAATATAGGTGGCAATGCTCAAATTAATGAGTTATTTACATGTAAAGTTCATTAATAACAACATAAAATTATTTTTAGGGAGTTTACTTTTAACTCTTAATATTTTAAGAGAATCTAATGACTTGATGTAACTTTTTATTGATCATAACATGCTTAAACCCTAAATCATAATAAGTAACTCATTAAAAATAAATAGTACCTAAGTTGTTTATTTTTATAAACAAGACAAATACAATTAGTCTTCTACTTGCAGATGCCACTTAGAAATGGTCTAGATTTAGGATAAAAAATAATCCCTTGGGGAGATAAACTGGGACTACAGGTAGAGGGCAGGTTTGGGTACACATGGCCACATCTTTGGAAACCTGAGTTCCAGAAAGCACAAACTTCTTGAGGTTTTGTACAAGACTTAGGCTCTAAGAATTTAAGAATTAAGAATAATGTTTCTTTAAAAAAAAATACAACTTTTATTGATTTCATAGAGAAAGGGAGAGGGTGACAGAGAGAGAAACATAAATGATGGGAGAGAATCACTGATTGGCTATCTCCTGCTCGCCCCATATTGGAGACTGAGCCTGCAACCCGGGCATGTGCCCTTGACTGGAATCGAACTTAGGACCCCTCAGTCTGAAGGCTAATGATCTAGCCACTGAACCAAACCAGCTAGGGTTCTCATCATTGATGTTTCTTCTTTATTTTTTAAAAATATATTTTATTGGTTTTTTTACAGAGAGGAAGGGAGAGGGAGAGAGAATCAGAAACATCAATGAGAGAGAAACACCAATCAGCTGCCTCCTGCACACCCCCTACTGGGGATGTGCCTGCAACCCAGGTACATGCCCTTGACCAGAATAGAACCTGGGCCCTTGAGTCCGCAGGCCGACGCTCTACCCACTGAGCCAAACTGATCAGGGAACATCACTGATGTTTCTCTCTCTCCCCCTCTCCCTACCGCTCTGAAATAAATAAAAATATATATAAAAAAGAATTAAGTAAAAATAGTTTGTATTTTATCTGCATCTTATCAGAGCACAGCTCGAGACTCATCAGGACGCTCTTGGCAAGAGCTCTTTCCTCATGTTTTTGATATGTTGATAGCATGCATTCTTATCAGGGATGGTTACGGAGAGCAAAAAAAATTTTTGTTAATTATGAATGTAGCACTCTAAAGCTCAACCCTATGTAATAAAATCTTTGTCTTTAATATTTATCTTGTTGGTTATTACTGACATCAGGTCCAAGGAGAAAACACAAAACGCATACAAGAAAGTTACAAACTATGGCAAATAGACGGCAATGAATGGAAAACATTCTCTCAACTGACTGCCCCAATCTCGAAGTCATGTTGTGAGAGATGGTCTGTTAATACCTGCAAGCTGCCTTGTATATGTCATTTGAACTGTTATGTGAGATTTGGGCTTTGAGAATTAAATAAAAATAGTTTACATTTTATTATTTAATTCTACAAATTATTCAACTTCTCATTAATTATGTCGATGCCCCCCCCTAAAATCAGTAATATCTGAATATCTAATAGCTAAGTTAAAAGGTATTTTCTTGTATCAAAGAAATTTCAAGGTTTACTAAAGATAATTTAAGAAATCAACTCAATTTTTCAATTGTTATATATTTACAGGATAGCTCTTGAGTAAGTTTTAAAGATTTTATTGCCTTGCTATTAGTATACACTGATATAAATTGATACATGTAAAACTTAATATACATAATTACATGAAAAATTTTCAACAAACAGTAAAATGTTATTTTAACTTTTACCTACCTTAAAATTTTGTTTAATTATTCTTAAAAGTTGCATTGAATAAAAATAAGTATACTTGTTATTCATATAGTTTAAAGCATACATTACATAAACAGACAGATACTTGTCTGTGGTATCAAAATCTCACGGGAATGAGGCTATAAAGAGACTTAAAAAGATTCCCTCAGAGTGTAATATTTTAAAAAGTTTGAGAAATACTGGTTTAAAGATATAAAATACCCACCCCTTCCCCACTTTGCTCAAGGCCATAAAGGACCAGCAGTCCTCATTATGGAGAGAGGAATTAGTGGGCACCATTTCCTGAGGGTCTGAAACAATAGTAAAAAAAGCTCCAGCATCTTGAATTAACACTTGGAATACATCACTCCACAAAAACAATACTGCAAAGGGTAGATAATACTCTTAATACTTGAGGTTCAACTATGTTGTGGGCTAAAAACAGCCCTACTATTGAAAAGTAATTAACTTTGGTAAGATTATTTAAAAATCAATTATATAAACATAAATAAATTACCAAAACCCATCAATTTAGTTTACGGAAACATAGAAACCAACAGGGAAGGGAAATAATCGGACTCAGCCTTATAAATAGTAAAAGCAATGCTGACTAATGACTTATCTGCGTGCTGCAAAGACCATTGAAGCCCTTTCTGCATTATGCCAACAGTATTTTCCTGTGGATTAATGGGAGATTACTCTTCTATAGAATTTTCATCTATGGCCTATACCTGTAGAATCAGAGTACAAACTATGCACCAGGCTTCTGACTCACTTTTTAAGGTAGGTTTACTGAAAATACAATTTGCATTCTTCTGTACCAGTTTACTGTAACTGGCAATAGGGCAGGGTTGAGAGAAAAGCCAAACCACATTACTTTTTATTCTATTAAAAAAATTTTTCTACACTACTAAAAAAAGAAGATTGGGATTGTGAAATTCATGCTTTCACACACTTGTTTCCTAACATTTAGGTGTATCTACTTGAGTATTAAGTTGCACTACTAGCTTTCTTTTAACATCAAAATGGAGGATGTTAAACTATCTGAAAATAATGCTTTAGATTCCCTCATGGAAATCAGATAAGCATGCTAAATTCCTGAATATAAAAATCACTGTCTGTAGGGTACAAATAAATATTAACCATAAATTAGTTCATTCTATTTTCTGACAGTTGACATACAATAAAACCTTTTTCTCAAATATCTTTTACGTATACAGCAAGAAATATTTCCTACTCTATAATTTTATACAAAATAATATGATGTATTTCTTGGTGGAGGGTAGGATCGGGAAGTACTCAGAAATGAACACTACCTATGAGAAGTAGGCAAATGTGCCAACTAAAAAAATATTTATATCTGGTATGCCACCATTATGAGGGCTCACTGAAAACTAAGCTTGAATTTAAATAAGATGTAACAACAATAAAACCTATCTAAAGGACAAAATTAGTTCTTTTCAGAGTAAGTAATGTGCATGTGGTCTAACTATAGAAACAGTTTAAACAAAGCCCATAATAAATATAATTATATAACTGTTCAAAAAAATCATTAAGAAATAAACTCAAAAGAAATCCTTTCTATACTTAATTTGAGAAGGAAAACTATAACAAAGATTTTAAAAATGCATTTGATTAAAATAAAATTTTAAAGTCATCATAGAATTACTAAACCCAAAAAACTCTTTAAAAAAAAAAACACTGGGTGAATTCAACTAAGTAAAAACTTTGATTATTTCAATATTCCAAATGTTATCTGTTCTGATTACAAACAGAAAAAGGATCTTTCTATACATCTTTTATGGTCAATTAAATTTAATAAATGCTGGTGCTTTTTGAAAGTCTTAAAAAAATAAAAAAAAGAATTAAAATTTAGTGGCCTTTTAAAATGAAGCAAATTCCCCCCCCCCTCTCTATTCTGCCTAAAGGCAAACATTCAACTCTGCCAAACAGAAATAAACATTAAAATTGAGCTGAATGGTTATGTTCTAAAATGTTAACTGCCACAAATGGAGGTCATTTTCAAATAATATACTCATTTTAGAACAGCCACTGCAAAGGATCTTAAGATTAAAACTTTGGAGTTCACTGACCTGTTAGAAGTAACCCAGGACCTAGAACCTGTCAATAATTACTGTGTGTGTGTGTAATTATTATTACCAAAACCATTGTTTTTATTGAGTTTAGTGAAAGGTATAGGAAATCTACACAAAATCTGGGCTTTTTAAATTTTACTTTCTGGACTACTACTTAGATTATATATAAGAGTTAAAATCTCAAAATTTCTCCTATAGAAAAATAGCCAACCTATACACATATACCTACTATATAGGAAAGGACAACTTACACAAAGACAACAAAGTAACATATACTCCCAAAAAGTGTTATGGAAGTGATCTTCTGTTACCTGAGCAACATCCTCAAGTTTATTCCACTTGATCGACAGTAATAACTTTGGCAGTGACTGTGGGAAGTTCTCTCTGCAGTCTTGTCGTAAAGTCCAAATAAGATCCATTTCATTCTCACACAGTTGAGACAAGGGATCCCTGTCCAAGATTTCCTTCAGTACAGCAAGAAACTTTTTTCCACCCCGACTCTAAGAAAGTAAAATTACTCATTATAAAATCGAATTGTGCAAACATCCCTGGCAAACACTTAGCAAATTTTATACAATGAATTTATAAACAACTTATCAGCTTTAACATGTGAGATACCTAAAATAGAATTACTCAAAAAGATTAATAAAGATGAATTTTCCTTTTAAGGTTTTTATTGTCAAATATAACATCTGTAAGCAAAGAATAAAGGAATGAATTATTCTCAAGCAGTTTTGAAAAAAGAAAAATATTGCTTCCTAAAAATCCATATGCAAACACTAGGTGGCAGAATTGCAATCTGGATTAAAAATAAGTTATTATTTGAACTAAGTTTCTTCTTTAATTTTCAGTTCCTATGGAAACACACACACACACACACAAAAAAAAACAAACAAACAAACAAACAAACAAAAAAAACCAAAGAGATAAACCAAACATATTAAGTTTTGAAAGAAAAGTAGCTCTGGCCAGGTAGCTCAGTTGATTGTGGCTGCATCCCCATATGCAAAGGCTGCAATTCGATCCCTGATCGAGGAACATACGAGAAGCAACCAATGGCCCTCATAGATGTGGCTCAGTTTGTTGAGTATCATCCTATGCACGGAGAGGTAACTGGTTCAATCCCCGGTCAGGGCACATGCCTGCATTGCAGGCTCGGTCCCCAGTGGGTGCCATGTAGGAGACAGTTGATCAATGATTCTCTCTCATCATTGATGCTTCTCTCTTCCCTTCTCTCTCTCACTTCCTCTCTGAAATCAATAAAAAATTTTTGTTTAAGTCACAGGAGAGCCTGAATGAGCTGCCACTGGCCAAGTCTCAGTCATTTTTGAAAATCAAAATAAATGACAGTGGTTAATTATACATCACTAAATAAAATGGAAATCATGAGTCTGTATTACTATACCCTAAAAAAAAGAGTGAGCAAAAAATGGAGAAGAAAACCTCTTTTATGATATAAGCCAACTAATAAATCCAACAGGAAAAATAAATTTTAAATTCAGCACTTGGCAAACTACTGTAATAATATTGATTCAAGCAAGGTATGTTAATATTAAAACAACTGGGTGAAAATGTGAATCAGGATGTCTACTTGGAGTCGAAACACGCCCCCATAAAATATTTATTAACTTTATAGAGAAAAACCTAGCAGATCAAATGATAACAATTAGTATCAATATTAATCACACCAATTGACATTGTTGCTTCCTGATAAAATTCAGTAAAGAAGAACACTCCATTACTTCCATAGTATTCCTGTTAAAAATGCATAGCTGGTTTTTATCCATTTGATCATAGATAAAACATTAGGCAATCCAAAGTGAGTGACATTCTACAAAGTAACTGGCTTGTATTCTTTAAAAAGTCAGTTATTAAAATAAGGAAAGGCTGAGCAACTGCTTTAGAATGAAGGAAACGAAAGACGCACAATAATGAAATACAACAAATAATCCTGAGTTGGATCCTGTACCCAATAAAGGACATTATTGAGACAACTGGCTAAATTTGAATGGAATGTGTAGTTTAGACAACAAAACTACAAGTGTTGCTCAGTGGGTTGAACACTGTTCCATGCAACAAAGGGCTGCCAGTTCGACTGCTGGTCAGGGCACGTACCCAGGTTTCGGGTTCGTCCTGGGTCAGGGTGCATATGGAAGTCAACCAATTAATGTTTCTCTCTCACACTGATGTTTTTGCTCTCTTCCCCTTTCTCTAAAATCAATAAAAACACATTAAAAAAGGAAAAGAAAATTACAGCCTCCTCATTCAACTGAATAGTATTCAGAGTATTATTAATCTATGATATGTCATAGCGTCCCTAACAAACTAGCTGAACTTGTGTTTATCGCAGAAAAGGGCTTAGCATGTGGAACACAGACCCCTACAGACAGCTGCCATTTAACAAAACATTAGAATGTACATATGCATGAGTACAGTCTTCTGTAAGTTCATTGCCATAAGTGAGATGAAGGTAGCTAATAATAAGCACAACTTTATAATAAGAGTTATTTAAAAACCTTGATACTTACTGATACATTAGCACTATCGCTGCTTGCAATCTCAGCTGCCTTTTCGATAATCTGTTTAAAAAGTTTAAAAAAATCAATTTTGGCTTTTGTATTTATAAAATTTTAAATATAAAAGACTTCACTTGTATATACAGTCTGGCATTTCAATGCTTTATAATGTAAACATGAATTTGAAATGCAAAATGGTATTGTGCAGAGATTCACAATCTTTAAACTTCAGAAAACTAGGAACCAATGACATAACTATAAGGGACTGTGACTCCTGGGATGCACTAGGAGTGTCTGTAGATAAAGTGAGCAGTGGCTTGCATACAGAGGTGGGGAAAATTTTTTTTAATATAGGTAAATGTCTTCTGATTAAGAAAATAAAAAGGTATGTGAGCGTTACTAATGATAAACTTTTGTCATTTGTCATGACTTTTTTTCTGAATTAACAGATATAAAAAAACCTAAAAATATTTTTAAACCATTAAGTTTAAAAGGGCTCTAATTATTAAAAAGCTGGAACCCCATGAATTCAGGAAGAAGATCAGTTGTAAAGAATGAGAATCTCTATCTGAGTTAGGTAACAAGTTAATAATTTGTATCCTCATCTGTAAAATGTAAGGATAATTCCCAATCTATTTCATAGGGTTTTTATAATAGTAAAATGAGATTATAGTTAAGCAATAAAAATAAAGTTGATTTGAAAAGCAAAATGCCTGTGAGATTACAGAAGAAAAAAAAAAAGACATGAAAAAGAATATGGGGAACTTTCACTTTTTATATCTGTATTATTTGATTTGGTGTTTATAAAACACCAAAAAGTTGTACTATTAAAGAAAACCCAATAAGTATAAATGTGTTTAGACATATTTAAAGACTAAAATCTTCATCCCAAGTTGATCTTCAAAAACAAAAAAAACTTTAGTGACCGAATGAAGAGGACTTAGGCAACACTGAAGTAACACATTTTTAAAAAATTAAACTCCTCTTGATGTATTATATTAAAAAGATTTATACTTGCACAGGATGTTATATTTGTAAAAGTGATTTGAAATGCGATCTCATCCGATTTCAAAAAAATTATACCTGATTGTCAAATATACCATAATTAAACACAAAAATAGGGACAGCTAGGCCTATTTTATTACTATGCTAAGGAATACAGCCATGGCATAAATGTACCTTTTTTACTCAATATACACTAAAATAGAGGATTCTTGACATATTTAGGATTTCTATTGTAAGAATCACAAAGTATTACTGATCAGAAAAACATTTTATAAGAATCTGAAATGAAAAGCTATTTCTTAGGTGGATAAAATTCAATTAAAATACAAGTAAAGGAAAAAAACTCTAAATTATATATATTTAATTTACATACTTTTAAAACCTACTCTCTACAGGTCTGGTAGTGTTAAACATTAAAACACAATTAAGTTTATAGGTGGAATAATTTAAATACTACTTAGGATAACATCAACTTTTAAAGGTAGCCATTCACAACTGGATTAAGGAAATAAAAGGAAGATTATTATTTGAGAATTTGCTCAAAGATTTTATCGTAAATATCAGCAATCATCCCTGAAACAAAGATACTAAACCTGAAGATAAAACATATGCAGCTTACTTAACTCTTTTAGCATGTAAATTAGGCATACTATGATACTTTTCTTATCCTCAAGACATGCCAATTCACACTAAGAAAATGGGTTTAGAAACGGAAATCCTTGCTATAGATTCTACAAAAATAATAGTATCTACCTTAGGAAGGCCTGCTACAAGTAATATTCTACATAAATCATCTTTTCTTGAATCCCAACTCTAACACAGCAGTTATTATGTCTTTAATCTCTGAACCAACATGCTGGCATATTTCACTTGTTCAGAATTACATCTAACTGCATTTATTGCCCTTGTAAACTGAAAAACAAACAAACCAAAACCCCTGTGAACAATTATGATTTCCTCATTTTATAAATGAGGAACCAGAACTCTAAAGATAACATATCTCACTGGGTCAGTGACAAAGCCAGGACTAAACAGAGTTGACTCCAGTGATCTTTCCACTGAACAAGCTGGCAATTTCTGCGATGTTTTGTAACAGAAATAGAAATAGACAAATAGAGCTTCAACTATACACCTTCAGAAACAGGAACTAATAATTCAATTATTTCACACATAGTGGCCCTTTAAATAATAATCTTACCTTATCAAAGGGAGGGTAATAATAAGGTTGTTTTTTATTCTCTGGGAATCTGATATGCAAAGCTGTTGCATTCTCAGTATATGGATTTGTTTGAACAGTTCCCATTGGATTCAACATTTCTTCAAGTTCATCTAAAACATGTAAATAATTTTGATTCTTAAAATATATTTTTGAAAAAGAAATAAAACTTTTACAGATTTAAACCATGAAAATGATTTTAAAAGTGTGTCACCTAAGGAAGTATAGCAGACAATTTTATCAGTAAACCTCTAATTTTCTGTTAATGCTTGGCACAAAATTTGAATCTGAGTTTATATACATTTTTAAAATGAAAAAATTAATAAAAAATTAATAGCTACATGGCATCATTCTTCAATTTGGTAAGTAGTCTCAATTTTGGGGGGAAAATTTTAATTGAAAATGTCCTTCCTCCATCAAAATTAAGGGCCCAGCACCCTGGCTGGTGTGGTTCAGTTGGCTGAGTGTCTTTCCATGCACCGAAAGGTTGCCAGTTCGATTCCCTGTCAGGGCATATGCCCAGGTTATGGTCAGGTTGCACATAGGAGGCAACCACTCAGTGTCCCTCTCCTTCCTCCCTTCCTTCCTTCCTTCCTTCCTTCCTTCCTTCCTTCCTTCCTTCCTTCCTTCCTCCCTCCCTCCCTCCCTCCCTCCCTCCCTCCCTCCCTCCCTCAATTCCTTCCTCTACCTCTCTCTTCCTCTCTAAACTCAATAAAAAACACTTTAAAAAATTAAGGGCCCATAGAACTCATTATTTCATCAGTATAGATAGACTTCTTAATCACATGTAATCTGATTTCCATGGTCATCACAGTACCATGAAAACTGGTATTTTCAGTCATCAATGACATTCTTTTTGACAAACTTAATGTTCCTTATTATCCTGTAACTGCTGATACAGTTAAACACCTTCTCTGGCAGTTTGTACAACTCCATTCAAGTGGTATTCCTTTAACTTCACCAACTGCTTCTTTCTTCAAGGCACTCCTTCCTCTTCTCCACCACTCTAAACACAGTTCTGTGCACAGTTCTATGCACAGGAATCTTAGAATTTCAGTGTTTTCATAAAATCCTGGAGTTCATTAACTTTCTCATTTCAAGCTAAGTAAAATGTTGGAGACATGAAATTTAAGATGAGAGGACACAGCTAGCTCCCCCTCTCTAAACTAATTTCTCTTTTCTAATACTAATTTTTAAAAGTTACCCTTATACTTCCAGAGAAAAATCTGTCTAGGCCTAATGTCCAGATAGTATGTATAATCAGAATTATCTCCCAAAACTACAAAATCTTTTTAATTCCATCTTTACTGGACTGAAGCAAATCTCATAATTTATATACCTCTAAAGCTACCTTCTTGGCAAATTATGATCTTATATTTGCTAACCAGTGGCATTATACCTATTTGTCCTACCAAATGCAACCTATCTAAAGTCAAATGTAGCATTTTAGTATTCTTATCAGCCCCAAACTTATGGGGGCAACCTTGCTTAAAAGTGATCACAAGAAAAAGCAAATGGAGAGAACAAATTAGTATGATCTCTAAAAGAACAATATGAGATTATCAATATTACAAATGTGTTTGTTCTTTGACTCAATAAATCCAACTTTGAGAATTTACTTTAAATATATACCTGCACATAAGCAAGGTTACTCATTATAACTGTTAAAACTATCACAACATAACTCTGCTTTTGTAAAGAGAAAAGGTCAAAAGGCCAAAGAGCAGAACACTACACAGAATATGCTATTTTATGGAAGAATGGGGGGAAAAATAAAAATCTACTTTTATACTGCCTAGTATATACATGAAAAATTCTGGAAAGACACAAAAGCAAACAATAAATGTAATGATATGCCTTTTAATTATGACCTAGGAACTCAAGGTAACAGATTTATAGTTCATTTCTGACTTGCTCCTTCTACTGGGCTAAATGTGACAATTCTAGAGCTGATACATGCAGAGCAAAGGTGTTCACTTATTATTGTTCACCGTACATTTTGTTAGATGATAAAGTTAAGTTCATGGTATACCTAGTTCATACCACTAAAATATTTTCTAAAAATACCAGTCACATTGCTTGATGATTCTGGAGAACATGTGTGAATCTAAATTCAGATTTTCAAAAAAAGAATATTTCTGAAATGCATAATTTTTACCCTAATGGTGAAATCATAGTTCCTCTTAAGAAATGTGTAAATGCACATTGCTTTCCTATAATTGGGGAATTAATGTGATTAGTGAAAATTATTGAAGGTATATGCAGGAAAGAATAGGAACACAATATGCACACATAAAATATTAGAATGTAAGACAAGTATATACATTCATAAATAACTAATTGTAATTTATGTACAAAACAATTATGTGTGTGGGTGTGTCAAAAAAAAACACCTTCTATGCTAGCAACTACTAATATATGAACATTTTTCAAATGTTTGTCACCCACAAAGTAATTTTACAATGCTAGTTCAAAATTTTATTAAACATCTATGAAGACAGAAAAAAAACCCAAAAAACACCACTTATATAATGCAAGTTACACACTAAAAATGTCCAACATTTGGGTAAGTATAGAGTAATGAGAAGAGCCAAGCAGTCTTTTGTACAAATCCTAGGTTTGAACCAATTATGTAAGATTGACAGAGGTTCACTTTTCTCATTTGTAAAATGGAGATAAAACCATTGACCTGATAGGAGTACTCTGAGCTGTATGTGAAAAATATAGGCATGTAGAAGGTGCTCTTCTTAGCTCAAATTTCAGGCTAAAGCCAACTAATAAATAAGTGTTTTTATTATTCTTCCCATATTAGTGAATGTTCCTTCTACTACTATAGAAATCAGTACAAGTTGCAATAAAGAAAAGACAATGTTATAAAAAAGACATTCCTTTGAAGAACTTCTCAAAAAACTTAAAAATGTAAAATGCTTACAGCATGAACACATTCATTGAACACAATATATGCAGACACAAATAACTTTTTGAGTATATTAAAATAACCTATGGAGCCGAAACCGGTTTGGCTCAGTGATAGAGCGTCGGTCTGCGGACTGAAAGGTCCCAGGTTTGATTCCGGTGAAGGCCATGTACATTGGTTGCGGGCACATCCCCGGTTGGGGGTGTGCAGGAGGCGGCTGGTTGATGTTTCTCTCTCATCGGCGTTTCTAGCTCTCTATTTCTCTCCCTTCCTCTCTGTAAAAAATCAATAAAATATATATTTAAAAAAAAATAACCTATGGGAATTTGTTTTAAAATAAACAATAAAGATATGAAATGATGGTTTTACTAAACTGAAAGAATAATGAGTCAGAAAGAAACATTAACTAGTCCACATGCCAAAAGTTATTCTTTAACACTAAGAATTAGAAAGTAAATCTTACCAGGAAATGAAGACCAGCTGTGCAATATTATGTCTCCAGATCTCAACTGCCCTTTAAAGTCAAAAACCATCGTATTTACCCATGCTACAGGATAATGCTGTTGAAAAAGATACAATTGCATCAATATGCTAAGAATGAATTTTAAGGTGTAAACATGTACTACATGTCTTTGTTCCAATAATCTTAGTTCTAGTAATGTCTAGAGTTCTAAATTATCCCCCACCAAAACAAACAAAATCCCCCAAGATATATATTATAAAATGTTCAATGTCTTTACAATGGTTGAAAAAAAACCCTAAAAACCAATGAAAGTTTCACAAAATAGTATATCTAAAAAATGAAATGATGTTGTACATCCACTGAAAATGAGGAGAAGCTTTTAATGATTAAAGAAAATATATCTAATATATTGTCTGTCAGGTTATATGTTTTAAGACCTTTCAGCATATATAACTAGAAGAAGGCAATGCCTCTAGATATCATAGAATTTATTTATATGTCTAAAAAGGAAGCACTAAGCTGATAGGACTTTTATGTAGACACTTAAGGCTAATAAGTCAGTGTATCAAAAAACCTTATTAACCCTCAAATGCTTTGAGTAAAAAAATTCAGTATCAATGGGGGGGAGGGGAGGAGAACGGGGAGAAGAGAAGAAAGACTAAGCAAGTAACTCTTCTGTGACTTCTTTGTGAAAATTTTATTTTGAAAAAATTGTAATAACCAGCCTAGCAGGTGTGCCTCAGCGGTTGACCACCGACCTATCAACCAGGAGGTTTGATTCCTGGTTAGGCTCCATCCCCAGTAGGGGGTGTGCAGGAGGGTGCCGATCAATGATTCTCTCTCATCATTGATGTTTCCCACTATCTCTCCCTCTCCTTTCTTCTCTGAAATAAATAAAAACATGTAGTTCTTAAAAATCATAATAATCAGAGAAAATATTTACATTCTGATGTTAAGAATTCTATATAAAAGTCTAATATGTAAATCAACTGAATGGTGGAACAACCGGTCACTATGACAAGCACTGACCATCAGGGGGCAGATGCTCAATGTAAGAGCTGCCCCCTGGTGGTCAATGCACTCCCACAGGGGAAGCATTGCTCAGCCAGAAGCCGGGCTCATGGCTGGCGAGCCCAGCAGTGGTGGCGGGAGCCTTTCCCGCCTCTGTGGTAGTGCTAAGGATGTCTGACTGACGGCTTAGGCCGACATCCCGAGTGCAAAAATTGTGTGCAACAGGCTCCTAGAAGTATATAAATCCATATAGATAAATGTAATAATTGAGGCATAAAATTCTCTCAAAAAACTCACAACTTTTTATAAAGAAGAGAAATGATTTGGCTCAGTGGATAGTGTCAGCCTGCGGACTGAAGGGTCTCAGGTTCAATTCTGGCTAAGGGCATATGCCTGGGTTGTGGGCTTGATCCCTAGTAAGGGGTGTGCAGGAGGCAGCCAATCAATGATCCTCTCTCATCATTGATGTTTCTATCTCTTTCCCTCTGCCTTCCTCTCTCTGAAAAAAAAAGAAAGAAAGAAAAAAATCTTGACTAAAAATATTAAATGGAAGAGAATATGGGAAAAAATGCACCATCCTTTATTCACAATTTCAAAATTGAAAGTGAAAACTAAAGGTCTGTTCATAACTCATTTGACAGTTTAAAAAAATAACATGAAATTAATATTTGCCTCATTTAACATACTTTCCTTCTAAATACTGATGTGTTTGATTACAGATTTGAGTCCCAGACCCCCAAGGTGTGTTGAATGCAATATCACAATCTATGATCTTCCTAAAACGCACAAAATTCTTAATCCTCAAACATGTGGCACCTGAAATTTCAGTTAAGAGATTGTGGACTTGTAATTTTTAAAATGTCTTTATTCTTTTTCATCAGTATCTCCTAAACAGTATAACATTTATATCATAATAGAACACTTATAGCATGATACTTACTAAAATAAATTGGCCAAAAGAGAAATGAATGAGGACATAAAAAAAAAAAAGGAGATTTATTATTCTTGGGGACCAAAGTTATATTAAATATTAATTTCACTTATATTACTCAATTATGTCACTTAAAATTATTTCATTATATTATTCCTTTAAGTTACTTAATTATTAAAAATTTTCAGAAGTTAGTATATAATTACCACTTTCCCAGATTTCCTGATGGTCTGATATTTAGAAGCGTTAATTGTTTTAGTAGATTTCTTTGTTTTCACTTTATCCAAAACTGCATAAACAGCAAAACATAATCTAGCCATTCGTGGCAGGTCACAAGTATTAATATCAAATTCCAGTGGTTCATTCCAAACATGATCATTTTTCCCTGATATCTCTGAGCTTACGATGGTTTTACACAGGAGTTCAGTACCATGAAAAAGGCCAGCCCTGACGTGAACCTGTAATGAGGGAGACAAAAACAAATACAGATTCATGAATACTGTACCACTGCTGCACCTCTAAACTTGGAGAATAAACAAACTTATACAGGGAGAAGAAGCAAGTGGGTGATCTAAATTTAAGATCTTATAACACAGACATAATAGCAAATGTCCACAATCAACCTAAAACTCATTCTATTTAATAAAGGTACGAATAAAAATGAAAATGATATTTTTGGTATTACTGTTAAAAATCATGATTCACGTTTTACTCCCTATTTATTTAAATAGTTTCTAGATTGAGTAGCCATAGCTTTAAGCAACCTTTGTTCAAATCCATGTCTCTAAAATGTTGTAAATGATATTTCCCCAAAATTTAGATTAAAAGCCTGGAGATTTTCATATTTAGTTTATAAAGGATATGGTAAGAAAAATTAAAAAGATTTTATACACAGTACTTTAAAGAAATCTCTGTATCTACCTTTATGCTATACTCAAAGTATCTAAACTATGAGAAACAGATATTAGTATTTTTAATAGCCAAGACCGAAGAGGAATAAGAAAGCATATTGATACACAATTTCTCATTTTCATAATTACTTTATTCTCTAAAGAAAACTTTAATTGCCTATAAGAATCATTTAACAGTTCTTTTCTAAGCAATGACCACTATCATGAAACGCACAATAAATGGCATTTGGTGTCAGTAAAATCATATAGAAGGTAGAAAGAAAAAACACAAAACCTAAATTTCTAAGTTTTATTTTCCTTCCTAACATACCTCAGGAAGATTGAGCATCAGTTAAAGAACACACAATGGATAGAAGTTTGAATTCATCAGGAGTTTAGGAAAAGGTTCCAGCACTTTTGTACCAAACGTTATCTTAAAAGGAATTCAATGGGTAAAGAAAACAATGACAAACTCCCCTGGTATGCCTTAAGGATCCAAAACAGCCCCATACAGCCTGAGTCTCAAAGTGCTTGGGCATCTTGAAAAATGTACAGCTAACATTACACTTAAAGTTGTAAGACTGAATACTTTCCTTTAAGAATACTAAGCTTTGGGATGTCCAAATGTTCTGGGTGTTCCTTTGGGGATTTTAGATGAGATAAACATTCAAATGGTAGGCTGACTAAAGCAGATTGCCCTTCCTAAAATGGGTGACCCTAATCCAATTTGTTGAAGAATAAAATAGGAAAGAAAAGAAAAAAAGCTGACCCTCGGAAGAGTAAGAAAGAACTCTTCCTGCTTGAGTGATTTATCAGCTTTTCTCCTGTAGTCAGAACTGAAATATCAGCTCTTCCTGGTCTCGAGCCTACCAGCCTTCAACAGGAACTACTCAAAACAATCACCTGGTTCTCAAACCTTCAGACTCACACTAGAATTAAACTCTGAGCTCTGAATCTCCAGTTTGCCTTTATCCCTACAGATCACAGGACTTAATCAACTTCATAATCATGTGAACTAATTCCTTAAAAAATGTGTGTCTGCATGTGCATGTCTGCATGCCCCGCCCCCTGCCCCCTTGACCCACCACATATTCTACTGGTTTTGTTTCTCTGAAGAATCCTGACAGATATATCTACTCTCTTCATTTCCATTTAACATCATGTATTGAAGGTCCTAGCCAGAAAGTTTGGAAAGAAGTAAAGCAGCATACCCCCTTCTTTTTCCCCCCTTCAGATTTCTTTTCAACATTGTACTGGAGCTTCTAACATGTGTAGCAATTAAACAGAATGGTGGGCATCTATAAAAATAAATCATGTCATAATTGCCTTAACTTACTTACATTCAACAATATAACCCCAATGGAAAAAATAAAGGGGGCTGGCAAGAGGAGACTTGCAAACTAGATGAAGTGGACTAGGAGACATTTTATGTGTCATTAAGACTATTACTCCTTAGAGTAGGGGTGTCGAACTCAATCAGAGAAGGGGCCAAAATCTAAAATCCAGCCTAAATCGAGGGCCGAATGGTTTACTGAACAGTCATAAACTGTCATTGTGATGGAAACGCAGCGGAGTGCAGTGATGACAGCGCGGTGCGGGCCATATTGCAAGGCCTGGCGGGACGGATTTGGCCCGCGGGCCTTGTGTTTGACACATGTGCCTTAGAGCATGACCAAAAACAACAGAATCAATTCAGCTTGAAATATCTGTTGGAAGTTGGCAAAAACCTATGGAAATAAAATGTCACTGACAAAGACATAAAATAAAGCAGGAAGTGAAGGCTTCCTTGGTCTTCTGCAGAAGAAATAAAATAGAAGATTGTAGGAAATTTAATAACTACACAATAATTAAATAACATAAATTACCTACCGAAGACAAATACAATAAACTACAAATGGGGAGAACAAGAATTCCCATTTTTACAATGTAAATTACACATCCTTACATACAAATCAAGGAAAAAAAACTATAACAAACATACATAATAATCCATATGACTTGAGGAAAGAATTGCCTATATGTGATTTCTGCCATTAGAAATATAATACCCAAGGAACTTTAGTGACTATTTATGACAGTCTAAGATGAATTATAAAGTAAATAAATCAGGTTGTAGAATAATGCATACAGTATCATCCCTTTTTAACAAACCAACCAATCAGCAAACACAATCAAAACCTATTCAATCCCCAAACTATATGTATATATTGTATTTATATAATTATGGAAATCACTCACAATACTGGTTATATATGATGATAGAGGCAGGTAGGAGAAATCAGTAACTTTTTTCTGTAATCATGTTTGGATTTTTTTTAACCTGTTGCAATAATGTTATACTTTTACAATTGGAAAATAATAAGAAAATTTTAAAAAAATTAAAGGAAAAAATAAAATTACCACTAAAATAGAAAACAAAGGATAATTGGCATACACACATTCATTAAAAATTCAAATCTAGCTAAAAATCTAAGAGAAAAAACCCCACACAATCTTATTTTAATAACAGCTACCCAAAGAATCTTTAATGTCCATTTACAAAAGCAAGCTATAGGTAATCTTGGCAAGAGGACATAAAATGTCTCCTAGTCCACTTCATCTAGTTTGCGAGTCTCCTCTTGCCAGCTTCCTGAATATATTGTCATGCCAGCAAACATCTCAAGCTAACTGAATCTCTTTCTTGGATCACAAAACTGTTCACTTAATTTTCTGCCAAACAAAATAGGAGAAAATGCATGCTTTTACTTTGAGACAAAATGCCTTGTTAAGTCTTCACTTAATTGTATGGGGCTGTGCAATAAATCTCCATGTGTTAACAACTTGTGGTCTATAATGTAGTCATCTATTTTCTTGCAGGAAATTGTATTACATATTTTGTGCTTAGCAAATTTAAAAGAAAAAAAGGGGGGCTGGGTGCAGCTCTAAGCAAGGCCAAGAAAGAAGAGTAAGCTTGCATACAAACACATAATCTATAATTTCAACTTAAATTTCACTTGCTATATCCCTGTTCTAAAGCAATTTCTTTTATATAATATATTGGAAAATGTCAATCTATCCATTATATCTCCAACCAAGTATTTAAATAGTTTAAAACAAAAAACCATTTTTAATAACAAAAATTCTTGTCTTATAATTAACTGCCATATTCTACCCTCAAATAATTGACCAATACTAGTAAAATTTAATTTCCAATGTGACATTTACTGAGCATATCAGTGAGTTATTTAAATAATGGAGCAGGTGACAAATTCAAATCTTAGCAAGTACTCACTTTTACACTTTCTTCTGTGTTAAGTTTATTTCCCTTAACCAAGACAATTTGGAAAGGGTTGTTATTTTCCCAAACATGCTGTAAAAGAATGAAATAAGTACAAGATATTTTAATTAAAGACATGAGTATGTTTTGCCAACAATAAAATCATTTAATCAATTCTCATGTCCACTGGCAAAATAATGAAAATAGACCTCTAAACTAACAACTGAAAGTCACATATGTTAAATTAAGCATAACCTTTAGCACTTAATTCTCACAGTATAACACAAGCAGCATTCCAATATTGCTAAGAGATTCACAAAGCTAAATATCATAATCAAATAGTATTAAAAGCTTTGAATAAATTAAGAATTTACATCTAAATTAATATATAGATAATATCTTACTCATACAATTTGTTAAGACTGAATATCTATTTAAAAGTGTTAACTGTTCCCATGAACACAAACATTTCTTCTTTTGATACAATTAAAGTCTAAAAGTATTCAATAAGATAGGCAAATTACACTGAGTGGCCAGATTATTATGATCTCTGAACGCATAATAATCTGGCCACTCAGTGTATATCCTATATAATAAAAGGCTAATATGCAAATTGTCCCCTTGACCAGGAGTTCAACCAGCAGGCAGGCCGGTCAATCACCCATGTCTCCCTCCCTAGCCAGGCTAGCCAGACCCCACCATTGCAAATTCATGCACCAGGCTTCTAATACACACACAGACACACACACACACTGAGTGGCCAGATTATTATGCGTTCAGAGATCATAATAATCTGGCCATTCAGTGTATATATACCACAACACTATCATAGCTAAGCTGAGAGAAATAAAATAGTAAATCAACTATTCTGCACATCTAACTTTTCTACCACAATGTCTCAAATTACTCAAGTCCTATGTTCAGCTCTAATCTAAAAAATATCTCTAATTTAATGGCATTTTTATTTGGAATCAAAAGAACAACAAAAATATAAATGTCATATTTACATTTATATGTAGTAGGTAAAGAAAAATAATAGTAATTAAACATAATTATTATAAATGGAAAGGGATTTGTATGCATTGGTTTTCACAGAAGGAGAAGTGGAAAAAAAAAGTGTGTGTATGTGAGAGAGACTTCCATGTACAACTTAACAAAATCACATGCCTTCTGGGGTTGGCAAAAGTTCATAAAACTTACAGAAATAATTCGTTTCTTTGGTGGTAAAGGAAGAGGAAGGTTAGATGAATTTCGATTTATGGCAGCCTCTATGGCAATCATTTCCTGTTCATACATCTTTTTGATCTTGCAACATTCCACAAGTATAAAATGAGGCAAGGTCCTGTTCATTACACAGTTCCGGATATACTAACAGTGGCAAGAAACAATAGGTAAGGATAATCAAGCAAATACTTAAATCAATAAAAGAATAAAATTAAGCTGAACAATACTATATTAAAATGACTTTGAAAGTATATCTTAACCAACTTAATGTCAAGAATATGAGAAATAAAGTCACACCATAAAAAAACTACCATTCACTGAATATCCAAGTACATAAGAACTGAGCTAGACAATTCTTATATTGTACATTATAGGTAATCTTCATAAAAACTCTGTTAGAGCAATTATCCCCCATTTAATATATTAAAGAACAAAAATTCGAAGAGTTAAGTTATACATCTAGTATCTTTAAGATCTGAATTTAAATCCACCTGCCTTTTTGTTTTGTTTTGTTTATTGGCTAAACTTTGAAACACATGCCTCAGTCTAGATGTTTTATTTTCTCTTTTCTGCACTTAATACCTGACAGTTTGACAATAGGCATATCTTTCTAGGACAGGACATGAACATCTTAGATGGATGTCACAGTACAAGCTTTCACCAATCAGTCAAGAAAGGTTAGCATGTAGTACTTATGTGGCCATTTCTTAAGTCATCTCAACTGTCCACTCACACTTTCCTATGGATTCCTGCAGTAAACCTGGTACTTTTTTTAGCATAGCGTTCCAGGCAACCATTATTGTTTGGGAGGGGAAGGGGGGGATTATTGCTTTATTTCCATGAAACCAGGGTGACTCTCCAGAGGCATGTAAAAAGGGAGGTGGTTATTCACATTACCAAAGATTCCTTTAAAAAAAAAAAAAAAATAGAAATCCAATGTATTACTCAAAAGAAAAACTTTCTTATCTATAAAAGTTTAATATGCTAATTAGCCTGGACAGCTGAATCATCTTCCAGACTTCCTTCCTGACGAAGCTGCAGATGCCGAGGCCGAGGTAGAGGAGGTTAAAAGTGATCAGGCAGGCAGGCAGGCAGGCAGGCAGGAGAGCAGTTAGGGGCAATCAGGCAGGCAGGTGAGCGGTTAGGGGTGATCAGGCAGGCAGGTGAGTGGTTAGGGGCAATCAGGTAAGTGATTAAGGGCGACCAGGCAGGCCAGCAGAGGGGTTGGGGGTATTCAGGCAGGCAGGCAAGTGGTTAGGGGCAAACAGGCAGGCAGGCAGGCAGGCAGGTGAGCGGTTAGGAGTCAGCAGTCCCAGATTATAAGAGGCATGTCCTGGACTGTGAGAGAGTACAGGCTGGACTGGGGGGACACCCCCTCACCCCTGTGCACAAATTTTGTGTACCGGGCCTCTAGTACAGATATAAAGTGTAATTCCATGTATTGTATCAAATGTAGAACCACTAAAAATATAATTTTGAAATTAAAAAAAAAAAATTCCAGGATGGCCTATAAGTGGAATTACATGATTTTATGATAAATGTATTCATTCAAAACTTTTCACTATGAAAGATGTATCATTACATTTCCTTCATATTTCTTTGCTGATACTGTATATTTTCTTTCCAATATGACCTTGTACAAAAACGTATACATGGCTTTATTTTTCTTTATAATAACAAATTCTATTTTTTGGCAAAACAATATACCTTCCTCTTATTAAGAAAAAGATGTTAAGTTAAAAAAGCAGTACTTCTATGCCCACCAAGCACTTTACATCTTCCTTCTTCCTCTTAGGAGCCGAAGTTCAAGCACTTACTATCAGAATGCACAGCTCCCAAAGCTGTGCACAGAAGTTATCACTGTTAGACTTCCTACTTACTAAAGCACAAGAACTGAAGGTTACACCAAAAACCTGAAAACAAAGGTGTAAAATTCCCTATTTCCTTCTAATAAATCACAGGTCTTCATTCTCAAACAAACATCACTTAATATTTGGCATGCCTGTATTCCTCTTTCTTAAAACAAAACAAAAATAAAAGTGATCACATATTACTCTAAAGTTTTGTTATTTATCCAACGTGGCACTCAGCTTATTGTTCTTAATATAATTATCATTTTTTAGTCTCCAAATGTAATTTCAAAAAATAATCCTCAAATACCTTGAAGGCACAGCTAGGATCCTATCCTTTAAATAGGATACCATATGGTGGGGGAAAAGGTAGTGCATTGCACATATCTTATTTAAACTCCACTTTACTCCAAAAATAATCTGAGGCACTGGAGTGCCTTTCATAACACATATAAGCAGAGAATTCATGACTAAATGGTAATAAATAACCGAAAAGTAAGAAAGACTTTTGGAGAATGGTGAAACTTAATTCTAACACAATTTCTACCATATATGGAAGTAACAAAAAAGTGGGTGAGGGGTGAAGGAGGGAATTACACATATAATTTTAGGCTTAAACTGAAAAGTTTTATAATACTTAATGGAAATTTTTAATATTAGTTTACCTAGTTAACAGATAATTGCAAATAAGTTTTTATATAATTCAATTAGTGGCCATTTAATGGAAATATTTTCTTTTGTTCCCCCCAGAATATTTCATATCTAAATCATTGTTTATATGATGAAATAAGAATTCATAATACTATATGAAATTATGACACTGAAACAATCAAAAAAGCAGAATAAAAACATTCTAGATAGCCAAAACCGGTTTGGCTCAGTGGATAGAGTGTCGACCTGTGGACTGAAAGGTCCCGGGTTCGATTCTGATCAAGGGCAGGTACCTTGGTTGTGGGCACATCCCTGGGAGGGGGTATGCAAGAGGCAGCTGATCTATGTCTCTCTCTCATCGATGTTTCTAACTCTCTTTCCCTTTCTCTTCCTCTCTGTAAAAAAAAAAAAATTCTGGATAAACACATAATGCCAAAAATACATGTAACTTTGAGTAAAATGACAAAAACATGCCAAAATGTTAACAATGATCAACTTGGAGGGAGGTAGGATTGTGGCTATTATTTGAGTGTAATTTTTTGTAGGTTCCAAATGCTGACTATAGTTAACACATTTTTATGTCAGAAATTTAAATTGTCAAATTGTTAAATACACACACACACTTCTCTGGTGAATTAAAAGTTAACACTCATACCTGGAATTGGATTAGTGGGTGATCACCAAATACATATTCTACTCTCCCACTGATTTGTAGCACATAGTCATAGGGGCTAACTTCATCCTCCTTCCAATGAATAGTCAAACGTTTTTGGATTGCCAATTCATTTATTTTTATAGGATTCATATTAGGAGATACTTGAAAGCTAAAAACATCCTAAAGGGAGAGATAGAAAAAAAACAAAACACCACAATTAAACATCTGTGTTAAAAACAAAACACTCGCCGAAACCGGTTTGGCTCAGTGGTAGAGCGTCGGTCTGCGGACTGAAGGGTCCAAGGTTCGATTTTGGTCAAGGGCATTTACATTGGTTGCGGGCACATCCCCAGTAAGGGGTGTGCAGGAGGCAGCTGGTCGATGTTTCTCTCTCATGGATGTTTCTAGCTCTCTATCTCTCTCCCTTCCTCTCTGTAAAAAAATCAATAAAATATATTAAAAAATAAAAAAAATAAAAGCACTCTTTACATTTGTACGTATTACTACATTATAAATAGCCATACATAATATTCAGATATGTACATCCTTTAGATTTAATATTTCAGTAAATCTTTGTTTTCTAAATATACTGTGTCCATGCCAAAAATGCTAAGATTTCTGTTAATTTGCAATTCATCTTACGCTATAGAGTGTGCCATAGTTTCCACAAGTCGGATAAATATTTAACTAAAGTTTAATAATATTTAACTAAAATTTATCTTCAGGTAGTTTATCACATGCATTTTCCAGTAAATATCCTTCTTTTAAAAAGTTACCCCAAACCCTGTGTTTTTAGTCTGTATTAATCAAAGTTATATGTAGTCACTAGTAAGAAGAGATTTTTACTTTATACTAATTGAAACATACTTTAAAATTTTTGTCTGGTTTTATAAACATGTAAAAAGAAACAGAGAAATTTTAACTAGTGAAAAATGGAGATATAGTTGTGATGAAATAATATTAAACCTATGCATAAATTCCAAAGGTAGAGATATTAAAGATTGTTTAATAATACGTGAATCCTTCTATAATATAGCAAAATAATTTCACACCAAATGATCATATATCAAAGATATAAGAAAGCTCACTCTTTCTCACAGCAGCCAGCTGCTACCCTGGACAACAATGATTATTAGAACACTAGTGGCCTGGTGCATCGATTTGTACACATTGAAAGGAAGTTAGAATATTTTAATACCGTTATTTGCTCTTTCTCTATAATAGAAGTGTCAACCAAATTCACGATTGACAATAACAGATAGAAAAACATGCGTGCAACTGGCGCCAGTGAGAGCTTTATATGTATTGAGCATGGGTGAGTCAACTAGCCTTTTATATATATAGAATAAACTTGCTTAATTAAATCTGCTTTCTGATTTAGTTCAACTTTTCCCAGCCTAGTGAAGCACCCCACTTCTCTTTCAGGTAACTGTCAGCAACACAGCAGTAAATATCAACAGAAAGCAGATAGTTACTGTAGATCATACAGGGAGAACAAAAGGTAAAATGTTTAACTGCAGCAGTATTTGAATATATTCTGCACAGTGAGAAAACTTGAAGTCATTTTCTTTTTCTTTCTTTTTTTTTAACAGTGTAAAATTTTTATATTTAGAATTAGGCAGCTGGACTCAGTTTAGATGATTCCAATTTTGTTGGCAACATCCAAAGCATCATAGTCAGGAGCCAGTCGAACATATGCCTTCTTCTCGCCATCAGGCCTGATCAGGGTGTTGACCTTGGCCACATCAATGTCATAGAGCTTCTTCACAGCCTGTTTGATCTGGTGCTTGTTGGCCTTGACATCCACAATGAACACAAGTGCATTATTGTCTTCTGTCTTCTTCATGGACGACTCGGTAGTCAGGGGGAACTTGATGATGGCATAGTGGTCAAGCTTGTTTCTCCTGGGTGCGCTCTTCCGAGGATAATTAGGCTGCCTCTGGAGCCTTAGTGTCTTTGGCCGTCGGAAGGTGGGTGATGTGCGGATCTTCTTTTTTTTGTGGCTGTGGATGCCTTTTAACACTGCTTTCTCTGCCTTCAAAGCCTTTGCTTTGGCTTCGGCTTTGGGAGGGGCAGGGGCTTCCTTCTTCGCTTTCAGCGCCATCTTCGTGAAAAGCTTGAAGTCATTTTCAAGGTCCACCATTTCTTACTTCTTTTCAGTGGGGTCAAGTTTCTAAACTTTCTAAATCTCCGTTTTCCAGCTAATGAAAATAGGATTCTACTGAGTCTTCTATCTACCTACTCCAGGACTTCTGAAAGGATCAAATGAGATGAGGCATGTGAAAATGCTTCACAAACATTTGGTTAATGTGTAAAATATTTGCAACTGGCTATAAAGCAAGTCATATTTTTGGGTGAATAAACTCCAAAGAGGCTAGTTGCTAGGGAGAGGAAGTCGGACATTGCTACCTGATGTCATTATCCGGTGCCCACAGCCACCGATTCCGGGCTGGGCTGGGCTGTGAGCCACATTTTCCCACCATGACAGCGTCAGCTGCGATTTGGTGAGCTGTTGTCCCAGGATGGTGATGGGGCCTGTGTCCCACTTGGGGGAAGCTGAGTGTTGCTTTGTTGGCGCCAGATCCACGCTGCGTTTCTCTGTAAATGGCCAGTGCACATTACTGTGTACATCCTTTAGGTGGCTCCTGCATAGAGTGTGAGCATCTGTCCCCTGGTAGTCAGTGTGCATCATAGCAACCAGTCGGCCAGCTGGAGGGACACTTTAACGTATTAGCCTTTTATATATATAGATTCTCCATACTGACCTGAAATTGATTTTGCAGTAATTTCCACTAAGTTAATTTACATCACCTCCCTTTTCCACAAGGTATCTCAAATTCAAACTTCTAAGACCTAAACCTACTGGGTCTTCCAATCTATTTTCTCCAGTATTTTTACCCTTTCTTCTGTATTTTCTGAGTTGGTGTCTTGTGCATCATAGCACAGGAACTAAGATCCACAGACTCACTTGATAAATCATAGTCTTACACTGCTGTAATTAAATATTTTACCCTTTATTCTCCCTGCAAGATTTACAATAATAATCTGCTTCATGTTGATATTTACTGTGTTGCTGACATTATCTAAAAGAGAAGTTGGGGTGCTACACTGGGCTGGAAAAAGTTGAGCTAAATCAGACAGCAGGACTAATTAAGGAAGTTTATTCTCTATATATAAAAGGCTAAGTTGACTCATGCATGCACAATACGTATAAAGCTTGTGCTGGCGCCAATTGCATGCATGTGTTTCAATCTGTCATTGTCAATCATGAATTTGGTTGACACTTCTATTATAGAGAAAGGGCAAGTAGCAATATTAAAATATTTTTTCTAATTAATATTTTTCCTTTCAGTGGCAACGAATTTGTGCACTGGGCCTCTAGTACTTTAATACAGACTGATTTAGAAATCCAGGCTGTGTTCAAGTTAAATTCTACTGTTTTTAACTTAAACTCTAATAATCTCTTAACAGTAAAATTCCCTATTCCAGATCTTCCAATAGCGCAGAATTCACTAAACAATATTTTAAATTTGATCTTGACACCTCATGATATCCTAATCTTGGCTCAAATTGAACTTTAATCTCAACACATCTCTGGATAGAGTAGTAAATCGTTTTTGTTTCCTACACAAAATTCCTTTGTAAAATGCCAGAAGGCAGGGTCCTTTTCTCATATTTGTCCTAATAAATACTTATAACATGCCGTTTGAAAGGTGGTAGGACTGGATAAAGCCATAAACACCAAGATAAAATCCTTGTTCTACCACTGGCCTGTTATGAAGCCTGGCATAAATAACCAAATTTCTCTTCTTTTCTGTTTCTTCACTATACAAGTGGAGACAATAACTTCACTTCATAGATTGTGAGAACTAGTAAATATATTAAAATTCCTTTCATAGATACAGGCATAGTATTAGTACTCAAAATAGAATGGCTACAGATAATGGTTTTTGTCACTGTTATCATAGTAATTGAAGAATAAAACTATTTTAACTTCTACACTAATCCTAAGGCTGACCCTAGATAATAAAATGATAATACAAAGGTAATAGCATAATTCAGTTTGTAAAATTGCACAGAACATTCAGATGCAGATTAACTTTATAAACATACATGGAAATGTCCAACTCCATATCAGTACTTAATTTACATATTAACAAATACAAGAATATTTGGGGGGGATCATTTGGCCAAACCTTTCATTTTATAGAAAAGAAAAAAAATATCTGCACTAAAGAACATTTTCTAAATAGGAGTTAGCAAATATTTTCTGTACAGGACCAGACTCTGAAGACATGTATCTTTGTCACATATTCTCTTTCTTTTCTTTTTAATATTCCTTTAAAATTCTTTACTTTTTTATAACCCATTGAAAATATAAAAACAGTACAGTTTGCTAACATGCCACTGCATCAAAAAATCATATATGAGCAAAGGATATATCACTTTAGATTATTATTATAATCCTAAATATATTTCCACACTAAATCTAAAAATACTCTTGCCCAGCCAGTGATGCTCGTGGTTGAGCGTCAACCTATGAATCAGTAGGATGCAGTTCGATTCCCAGTCAGGGCACATGCCCAGGTTGCAGGCTCGATCCCCAGAGTATAGCATGCAGGAGGCAACCAATCAATGATTCTCTCTTATCATTGATGTTTTCTCTCTCACTCTTCCTTCCTCTCTGAAATCTATAAAAATATATAAAAATAAAAATTAAATAAAAATGTTCTGAATAAAAATTTTCTAGGCAAGCAAGAGCCTCCTCTGAGGGTGGAGCTGTATTTAGGTAAAAGTCACAGATTTATTACAAATTATTTATTAAAATAAAATTACCTGACAATTTTCAAAATGCACAGCCACAATGAGCTTTCCTCCATAAAGTTTATCTTCTAAGTTTTCAAGGATGGATGATTCATGCTCTGGTGGATATGTCTGCTTTAGCCAGTCCATCCAAGACAATCCCACAAGCGACTGGATCTTTTCCTCACTGAATTTACGCATTTTTATTCGGAATTCATTCACTTCAGGATCCTTCAAGGCATCAAATTCATGCAAACCTAAACACATTTTTTAAAGTAGTCATTTTGAGTAGCTAATATTAAAGAGAATATAAAAAATATAAGAGAATATAAAATATATTCAATGAAAACTTATATAATTGACTTTTATTAAGCAAACAAAACTGGGCAGGAAAATATTATACAAAATCAATGAATAGCCATATAAAATACTAAAAGTAGCCCAGCTGGTGTGGCTCACTGGTTGAACTGCTCTATAAATGATAATTTAGAATTAAAAAGAAAATAATCAGGCACATCATATTTAAAAGAAGGTATTTTTAGACCCTTTAGGCAGTTATATCTGTAAAGGTTCTATTGTTTTCTTTGGGGAGGAGGAGGCAACAAACTTGTTCCTGAAGTTAAATTAAAATAATTGTTTATTGTTTTGCCATGAAGCATGACCTCACTAAACCCGGTTGTAGTCATGAAATACAAAGCAACAATTGCAAAACTTTACTTGTTAGGTATTTAAAGTGAAAACTGGTTCTAAAACATTAAAACAGACTTATTTAACTTCTTAAATGAATGTTAACATTTAAATTTGTGTATATGATCAAAACACCAGTTTTTCTAGAGATGCTGAAGATCTAAAGTACAATTTATAAAGAGTTAAGAGTTTACAAACTGTTTAATTTAACACAGTAAAACACTTCTTACATGCTGATCTTTTAAATTGCAAGGAATACTGCAAAATAAAATTATACAATAAGCTTTATGATTCTGAGTGAAATATAATACACTGCTTATAGAAAGAGAAATTCAATTCTAATATACATATTTCCTGTGCTGTAGTAAGGTAAAGTTAGGTTTGCCAAAGAAAAATAGTATGCCAAATTCTATTTCAATTTTAGGTAAACAGTGAATAGTTTTTTAGCATAAATATATCCTATGTAATATTTGGTTCGCCTATATTCTTATTAAATTTGGCAAGATTGGATAGAGGTAATGATAGCTAATGAATCCTATGTTTTATAAATCAAGACCAGAAGGGAACACAGTAACCTAAAGGTTGAAAAGATGGTAAATTTTAAAAAGATACCTATATTCTAAAGAGAGTTAGCTATCTCTGTGGTGCTACCCTTTTGGATTACCAAATGTTTTAGATACATCAAAATATTATCAAGTGGATAGTCTTATCCTAGAAGATAAAAGATTATAAGTAATTTTCAATTCTTTCTACTTTTCCATATATTCTTCAATTCAAGTGAAGGAAAACTATTTTTTTTAAATATATTTTATTGATTTTTTTATAGAGAGGAGGAGAGAGGGATAGAGAGCTAGAAATGTCGATGAGAGAGAAACATCGACCAGCTGCCTCTTGCACACCCCCTACCGGGGATGTGCCTGCAACCAATGTACATGCCCTTGACCGGAATCGAACCTGGGACCTTTCAGTCCACAGACCAACACTCTACCACTGAGCCAAACCGGTTTCGGCGGAAAACTTTTGCTAATGAAGAAAATTTAATAACCTATAAGAATCTTTGGAGCATTTGGAGAAAATAGAAAAGAATGCTTTCTATGAAGTCTATTAATATATAAGAAAAAATCTGTATGGTAATGTAATTATATATCTATTAATTGTGTATGTGTGTGTGGGGGGATTATTGCCAGAAGCTAACAAGCTATCCTCTGAAGTAATCAAACATTTTAAAGAACAGGATGCCATTAGCAAATCAACAGGGTTCTGTTCTAAGTACTCAAAGGGAAGAGGTCAGCCTCACAGTATAATTATTGTCTACCCTGAATTACCTTAGGTCAAGATCAAAGAATACTATTTTAAATGGGATGGTTCTTGAGATGGTACTATATTATACTCTAATATTAAATTTGATTAATATAGGTAGCCAATGCAGATCCAATAATCTCCAGTAGATTTTTTGGTTTTGTATTTAAACTTCCAAGTCTCTTCCTCAATTACCCTATGGTACTCACTTCATATTGGTATCTTGTCTAAGGGAATAGGATATTGATAGTAAATACTGGCCTCTGAGATTACTACAGAAGAGAGATTTGTACTTGTTTTTTTATTTTGTTACTAACAATTCTCCCCTGAAATTAATTTGCAAAGAATACTATAGACATGCTGTATCTTGACTCACTACAAAATTAACTTCTTAAAAATAATTTTAGGTATGGAGTAAAATTTGTCAATATGGGTTACTTATGAAAACTTATCAGCTTAAAGTCTTGGTGGGCATAGAGAATTCTATCTAATAAAGAGGTAATATGCTAATTGACCTTCACAATGTTGCAAAATGGCGGCGCCCACAGCCAATAAGGAGGGACTATGCTAACTGACTGCCACACCATCAAAGAAGGAGGTGCCCACAGCCACAAGATGGTGGGGCCCAGTCCCCTCAGCCCCACTGAGTGGCAGGTGCGCAGCAAGGCTGGGCCTACCCCCAGGTGAGCCTGGCTGTTCTGCTCACCTGCCTCCAGAGTCCCCCAGTCCCGTCAGACCCCCAGCCCCCAAGGTGCAGGCAAGCCTTGGATGGCAGCTGCCCAGCCACCCAGGGATGGCCCGAGGTGCAGGCAAGCCACAAATGGCCATTGCCCAGCTGCCCAGGGCTGCCTGAGGCTCAGGTAACTAGGGCTGGCTGAAGCTTGCACTGCCAGCAGTGGCAGGTGCAGTAGTGTGATGGGGTATCACCTTTCCCTGATCACCGGGTCGTCTCCTGCCCCTGAGGGCTCCCGGACTGTGAGAGGGAGCAGGCTAGGCTGAAGGACCCCCCACCCCCCCTCCAGTGCATGAATTTTCATGCACTGGGCCTACAGTTCTATATAAATTATGTTCATGGGGGAGTAGGGGCAAGATGGGGGGGGTGTCCATGGGGAAAAAAGGGGGACATCTATAATACTTTCAACAATAAAGATAATTTTTTAAAAAGAACCAATAAAATATATTTTAAAAATTATGTTCATACTATAGGAGCAGTTCAGTGTCTCTTAGAAAAGGACTTCTCAAACTATCTGAGGCAAAGGAACATATTTCTCTACAACCTGTCAAAAAAAACAGTATTTTTATAAAATAAAAATAAGTCACTCGAAAAAGAAACTTAAGCCCTTGGATATTGTGGCACTATCACATTGCTAGAGGAGTTTTTATTCCTGATTTCTGTACTTGTCTCAATAACTGGTAACAATTTACAGGCCATCACTGGTCTGTGGACAACACTTTGCAAAGCAATGTCTTAAATCATACTTACTACGTGTTTGTATAATATATATCACAAAAAACATGTTAATAATTCATATTAGAAAAAATTTTAATTACCTTTTCCTATAAGGACTCCAATTTTTGAGTCTAATTTTTCCCCTGGGTCACAACTTCTAGTCACTAATTTGAGAACTGGAAGAAAAGGTCTGACATCACAGAGTCTTCTTGTTTCATCTTCGAGCTCCTCATATACAGCAGTTTGATTCACACATGCAAACATATAGGAGTCAATTTCCATAAGGAGGTTAAACATTGGGTAATTATTAATCTGTGTCCACAACATCTGCAGGATAAAAATAAGACATTTTCTGAAATGGCACTTGCTTAAGAGCATCTACAAGGATACTCACTGCAGCACTATTCCAAAAACTGAAAACAAATGTTTAGCAGTAAGAGATTGGTTAAATAAATTGTAGAACATTAAAGAACTATAAATATAAAACAGAAATATGGAAAGCTATCAAAGACATATTAAGGTGTGTTTCTTTAAAATAAAAAATTGCGAGAGCCCTAACTGGTGTTACTCATTGGTTAGAGGATTGGCCTGTGCACAGAAGGGTCTTGGGTTTAATTAAATGTGAGAATAAGAATGAGGATGATTTAAATGTTTATAAGAGATAAAGCACGAATCAAAATTTTTAAATGTCATGAGCTGAAGGTTAAAGTCCCTCAAATTTATCCTTTGGTTTACATTATACTTTCCATAATAGAAGAACATGTTCCCTTAAGTGTTATAGTAATAAGTTACATTTATAGAAATTCTACAATAGTATTATCATACCTGTTTAATAGTAGAAATGGTAGCTTCCCGAGGTACCTCCAACTGGATATAAATCCCAGTGGGCAAAAGGAAATCCACAGGTATGGAGCCATCAGATGCTATCTGTGAATCCACTGCCCAGATGTCAAGGATGTCTGCCATAGCAGGAGGCATTATGAAATTGAAGCACATTCATAACCATGGGGCCCTAGAAATCAGTAAATAAAATTTAGTGAATAGTTAACCAGATATTATACTAAAATATGATAAAGCCCACAAATCCATAATTAGTTCTTATGTTTTAACATAGCCAGTAATGTAATCAAGCAACAGTAAGCCAACAGAAATAAAATACTTAAATATACTTTGGTTATCACTACATAAATATTATACAAATTGGTTATCACTACATAAATATTATACACACACACAATCACCCCCCCCCCACTGACTCAAATTCAACATAAATATCACATGTAAAAGATGAACAGTTAAGGATTATAGGGTCCTGAAAAAGTTAACAATCACTCAACAAGTGATTATTTCCAGAGATGATATTGGCTTCTTTGGCTGACTTTTTCTTTACAAACTCCAATGAAAACAGCAATCAAGAGGCCTTCTTTCGAAAATAATTTTCTTCCAATCTCATGTAAGAAACAAAATGTCATCAATTTAATCCCATGACCTGCCACCTAAGTATTAAAAAGACCAAATCCGCCGAAACCAGTTTGGCTCAGTGGATAGAGCGTCGGCCTGCGGACCGAAAGGTCCCGGATTCAATTCTGGTCAAGGGCATGTACCATGGTTGCGGGTACAACCCCAGTAGGGGGTGTGCAAGAGGCAGCTGATCAATGATTCTCTCTCATTGATGTTTCTAACTCTCTATTTCTCTCTGTAAAAAATCAATAAAATATATTAAAATAAATAAAAAGATCAAATCCCTCCACCCAGCTAGCAAAGTCCTTGGTACTATGTTTCTGGCCTATGTTCCTTTCCTCCCAGCACTTCATAGCCCAGACCCTCGTGCCTCAAGTGCCTTTTGCCTTCCTACTGGTAGACCTATGTTCATTGAGGCTGACACTCCTGCATCAAAACCCTATCCTAACAAGTGCCCCCCTCAACTGTGCCATTTAAGTCTCATCTATTCTTTAAGAGCTTTCTTAAAGAAGGTATAATAACAGTGGGAAGAACACTGGCTTTGAAGTTAAATAAACTTTATTTAGGTTCAAGTCCCTTTATTCAAAGTATGAAAGTATCACAATAAAAGACACAGGAGCCAACTTAAAAAACATTTAAGCATCAAAAAGAATGATGACATCCGTGGATTGAAACACATCAAATATATACAATGTGCGACTTAATAATGATATCAATAAATAAATAAACCCTTTATTTGTCACCATTGAAGGCTGCTTAAACCAACTCATTATTTTGAAAACTGATAAAAAATGAGGACCTGTAAACCACACACTTACCTGCTTGTTTATACTATAAATTCATAATTGATGAGTTTAAGGTGTGTGTTTTTAAGAACAATTTTAGCTAATAAATGCAAAAAGAATAATATAATTAGAAAAATCACCATATTACAACCTCTAATGAAATAATGGATTTAGGCAAGGATCATTAATGAATGCTAAAAAGAACTTTACAATGTAAGGTGAAAAAATAGGGAACTTTACAATTCAGGTTGACACCATCTAAATTCTCTGAATAATCCAGGTGGAACTTTATCATTCAGGTTGACACATCTAAACTCTCTGAATAACCCAGACATGACTGTTCCTGTACTACAGCAGTAAATACTACACAGTCACTACATACTTAAGACTTTTTAAAAAATGTACTTGAATCTAATGAAGTTCCAAATTTGATATATCTACCAGTTTATAGAAACTAGGGGAAATAGAGGAGAAAGTTAAACAATCAAGGAAGCAATCAGTAAGTAGTGTCCAAAATGCTGGATCATCAGTAAAATAATAACAAGAAAGCAAACTAATTAATAACAGGAAGGAAAAGGCTGGTGGGAGGACTGTTAAAATAATAAAAGAATACTTAGGAGACATAGTCAAATTCAATGTTGATTTGAACAGATCCTCCATAAAAAAAACTATCTTTCAAACAACCTAGAAAATTTAAATATGGATTGAATACTAGATGATATTGAATAAATCCTGTTAAGTTTGTGACATATAATACTGGAATGTTATGTTTCTAAAAATCAGTGCTATCCATTAGAGATGCATAATGGCAGTACATGTAGGTGTAAATAGCATTATGTTGGCATTTGCTTTAAATCATTCTATTTTTTTTTTCAAAGGTGAATGGACAGCTGGTTTCAAAAGTTTGTATAAAGATAAGATGATGAAAAAAATATTTTCAGCAAATGGTGCAGTAATAACTGAACATCCATATACTAAGAAAATGAACCTCGATTCCTATCTTAAGCCAAAAATAAAAATGAACTCAAAATGGGCCATAGGACCAAATGGTTCCAAAACCAAAAACCTCAAGAATAAGGAAAAATATTGTGATTTTGGATTAAGCAAAGATTCCTTATATGACACCAAAAGCAGAATTTATAAGTTTTAAAAATTGATAAACATCATCAAAACTGAAAACTTGTGACTTTAGATACAATTATTCATAATATCAAAAGATTGCCTGGCCAGTGTGGCTCAGTGCGTTGACCTATGATGACAGTTGGATTCTCTGTTGGGGCACATGCTTGGTTTATGGGATCAACCCCCCAATGTGGGGTGTGCAGTACGCAACAGATCGATAATTCTCTCTCATCACTGATGTTTCTATCTCTCTCCCCCTCACTTCCTCTCTGTAATCAATAAAAAAAAATATTTTTTTTTTAAAAGTCACAGGCTGGGAGAAAATGCTTGCAAATCATATTAAGGGCTTATATACAGAATACATAAAGAACTCAACATACAATAATAAGAAAACAAACACCTCAGTTTTTAAACTTTGGCAAAATATTTGAACAGACACCATCAAAGCAGATATGTAGATGGCAAAAGGGCTCAATATCATTAGTCAGTGCAAAGTACAAGATACCACTACAGACTTATTCCAAAATCTAAAATTAAGAAAGATCAATCATTCCAAGTATTAGAAAAGATTCAGAGGGAACTAGAATTCTCAAACACTATTGGCAGTTTCTGAACATATATCTACTATATAATTTATTATCCCACTACTAAATATAAGTTAAAAATAGAAATAATGAAGACACATATTCATACAATTGTTCACAGAAGCCTTACCTATACTATCCAAAAATTGGAAATAATTCAAATGTCCATCAACAGATAAATGAATAAAAAAATTGTGACTTTTTTTAATTGTGACATATTCATACAATGGAGTACTACACAGTAAAACACACACACACACACACACTAATATATTCAGTATTATGGATGAATCTCAAAAGAATTATGCTGACTGAAAAAAGCTTGACAAAGAGTACATACTCAATGAATTCCATTTACATAAAATTCCAGAAAATGTACACTAAACTATAGTACCAGATTAGTGGCTAACTTGTGTGGGGAAGTGAGTGGGAGAAGCAGGGAGGGAGGAATACAAAGGAACACAAGAAAATTATTGGTAGTGCTGAATGTGTTGTGTTTATTATCTTGATTGTGTTGTGCTTGCAAGTTCTATAATGCATCAAATATGTCAAGTTATGTACTTTAAATATGTGTACTTCATTATATATTAATTATACCTCAATAAAGCTTTTTTAAAGTTATTATTATTTTTAATGAGAGGGCTAGATGCAACAAGAAAAGCAAAATGTTGATACTTGCTGAAGCTGGGTGATGAGAAGTACATTCTATTACTCCTCTGCTTTTGTGTACACTTGTAATTTTTCATAATAAAAAATTATTACATCTAATCTGAACTACTTACCCTGTATGTGAATTTTGGCAAGTCACTGAAACTTCCTGAATTTCCATTAACTAAAAAAAATAAATACTATGAGTTCAAGATGGCCACGGCATAGGAGTACATTAATCTTGTTCTTTTCAAATATACTAGTACATATATATGGAGAGCAAGTATTCCTACGAGACAACTAAGGGCTGAATGAATAGCTTTTGAACAGTAAATGAGAGAAAGAGACAGAATACAGAAGGAACTCTCTAGGGTGGAGGAGTATAAGGGAGGGCCACTTTAGTTCTCCCCCACTTAGATATGGTAGACTGCATTCTCTTCTGGTACTTTGGCCTACCTGCTAGATGATTATAGCACATTCCCAGCTACACAAAGCCTTTTGCTTCTAAACACAGAAAACAAGCATGAACAAAATGATGTCACACACACATCGGTCCTCCCTCCCTGGAGCTAACTCCAGGCAAGCAAGCTGGTGCCCAAGGCTCCAGAAACTTCTGCATGGCTCCACCTGCCTTTGCCAAACTGCCAGGCAAATAAAGACTAGATGTCACGCCCTGACCAGGGGGCTCTGTTGGTTGGAGCATTATCATGTACACCATGTATTAATAATAAAATATTATTCAGAAATAAGAAAATAAAAGCTTGCCATTTGGAACAAAATAGGTAGACCTGGAGGGTAAACAGCATATTATCTATCTTATATGTGGAATATATAAATATATATATATATATATATATATATATTTTTTTTTTTTTTTAAACGAATGAACAAATCAGCCCTAGCTGGTTTGGCTCAGTGGATAGAGCATGGGTCCGAGGACTGAAGGGTCCCAGGTTCAATGCCAGTCAAAGACAAGTACCTTGGTTGCAGGCTCAATCTCAGACTTGGTCAGGGTGCATGTGGAAAGCAACCAATTGATATTTCTCTCTCTATCTTTCCCCCTCCTTTCCACTCTTTCTAATCCTCAGGTGAGGATTAACAAAAACAAACAAACAAAACAAAAAACAAAAAAACAACAGAAACATATCTATTCATATAGACATATAGAGAACAAGCTAGTGGTTGCAGAAGGGGAAGGAAGAGGAGGGCTGGGAATATAAAAATAATAGTTTAGGCCCTAGCCAGGTAGCTCAGTTGGTTAGAGTATCATCCCATTCATTCACCAGAAGGTAGCAGGTTTAATTCCTGGTCAGGGCATAGTTAATAATTGCCAAAAATGTGTTGCACTATCAAGCATTTTTTTGGTATCAACAAAAAGCAGATTATTATTGTAGATCATGCAGGGAGAACAAAGGTACCATCTCAAAATGCATTATAAATTAAAGTTTAATCCTTTAGCTTTACAGCTAACCATGCTCTCTTTGCTCACTAAAGGAATACCAATCTCCAAATGAAAGACTCAGGTTAGAGTTTATCTATTTTTAATGCCATTTTCATTTAATTAGCCAAAAGTACAGCAACCTAAAGACTGTGGCTGTGATCACAGTAGGATGTACTTATGGAATTGCTGTATAACACTTGATTGACAGCTGGCACCCTCTAGCTCACTGTGCCAAGTGAGCATATTAGGCATCAGCTTCTCGAGGAGACCTACTAATGGAGCATGTAGCCCAGGTATTTCTTGCCAAATGGGAGCTCTTTGGTGAAAAATCCTTCAGAAAAAGGTTTCTTGGCTTCCTCTTCAGGATGGTTGGAAGGACCGTCACACTGTCTCCAACTTCCCAATCACCTAGGATGGCAACTCTCTTTTCTGCAGTCAGTTGGAGAAAGAACTACTCCAAGAATCTGTTCAAAGTTCCTGCCAGTGATAGTTGGGTAAAGGATAGACAGCTTCAGTGTGCCATCACAGGCATGCCCTTTTTGTCCTCTTCTGGGCCCAGCATGCCCCATAGGACAGTGAGATCCCAGTTCCTATCATCAATGATGGGAAAAGGTAACTTTTCCATGGGCCCTTCGCAGCTGTAAGCACTGATATGCTCCAGGCTAGCTTAACGTTCCCTTTGGCAAATTCTGGTGTCAGCTTTGCACCAACAAGTGTTACAAAAAAATACTATAAAAAAGGGGGGCTTTTGGTCTAACAGGGTTTAGAATCACTGGTATAAAATTCTTTATACATAACTTTTAGCAATCTGTATTCCCACTACTTAATAATTGTACTAGTATACAGCATCCATTAATAGGATTGTAATCAAGTTCTTGGGTTAATTTGCATTTCTCTAATTATGTGTAAAATCAAACTTTTAAAATATTTAATGGAATCTGTGTTTCTATATGTGTTTGGTCATAGTATTGTAATTTATATAATAGGTTAGAGGTCATTCTACTTAAATATTAATGGTCTTTTTGCATTTTGTAATGAATAATATGTAAAAATGTTAGAATTCTGAGTTACTGACCTGTTGGTTTGCTTATCTTAGGCTTTGTAACTTTCAATATGTTAAAATATTCTATGTAAATAAATTGAATATTTGCTTTGAAAATTAAAGAATATTTGCTTTGAAAATAATTCTCCTTGTGATAAAATAAAGCACATAAATTTCAAAAAGACACTTATTCCTGATCTAAAGGGGAGCACTTGTAGTTTTTGCCTATTGAGTATGATGTTGGCTGTGGGCTTGTCATATATGGCCTTTATTAGGCTGAGGTATGTTCCCTCTATTCCCAATTTGCTCAGTTTTTATCATAAATGGGTATTGGATTTATCAAATGCTTTTTCTGCATCTATGGATATGATCATATGGTCTTTATCATTTATTTTATTTATTTGATATATCACATTTATTGTTTTGCAAATACTACACCAACCCTGTATCCCTGGAATAAATCCCACTTGATCATGGTGTATGATCTTTTCAATGTATTGCTGGATTCGATTTGCTAATACTTTGCTGAGGATTTCAGCACCTATGTTCATTAGGGATATTAACCTAAATTTTCTTTCTTTGTCATGTCCTTATCTGGTTTTGGAATTAGGATGCTGGCCTTATAAAATTAGCTTGGGAATCTTCCCTCTTTTTGAATTTATTTCAAGTTTAAAAAGATAGTTTGCTGTTAGTTCTTTGAATGTTTGGAAAAACTTCACCTATAAAGCTATCCAGTCCAGGACTTTTGTTTGTTGGAAGTTTCTTTATTATTACTACTTCAATTTCATTAGTTTTAATCTATCTATTCAGATTCTCTGATTCTTCCTGATTTAGTTTTGGAAGATTATATGTATAAATTTAAATTTATCCATTTCATCCAGAATGTCCAATTTGTTGGCATATAGTTGTTCATAATATATTCTTACAATCCTTTGTATTACTTTGGTGTTATAAAATATTCTATTTTAAATTACTTACATTAACTTGAGTTAGAATATTTGGCTTTTTATTAATTAATGCTAATCAATTTTTTCAGTATTCTAATTTTCTTTCATATTGCTTACCAACAACAAAAGATGATTATTCTGTTGGGGTATATACAACTAAGAAAGATATATTTCATCCCCACTATATTCTCTCCTCAACCTGTTCCTTCTCTTCCTGAAACTGAAATGAGTAGTATTGTGGAAAGGGGAACTAACTGCTAAACCTATTTCAATCACTATTTGACCATAACCATATTTTAGGGCAAAAATGGGTATTTTCCTAAATAGATAAAAATTAACAGGACAAAGACTTACTACTAACATCTATTACAAAGTATGTGACCTACATGATAGGCAAGTATACTATATTTTAAAACATTTTTATTGTTTAAAATAACACATAAGTTAAAAAGTACCAAACAAAATTATTAAAAAGCAGCACCTATTATAAAGCAAACCACAGTCCAGGTCAAGAAATACAGCACTGCCCTGGCTGGGTGGCTCAGTTGGTTGGAGTGCCGTCCCGTACACCCAAAGGCTTTAGGTTTGATTCCCAGTCAGGGAACATGCCTAGGTTGCGGGTTCAATCCCCAGTTGGGGCGTGTACGGAAGGCAACCAATTGATATTTCTCTTTCCCCCTTCCTCTCTCTCAAAAATCAATCAAAACATATCCTTGGGTGAGGACTTAAAAAAAGAAGGAAGGGAAGGAGGGACACGAAGGAAGGAAGGGAGGAAGGGAGGGAGGAAGGGAGGGAGGAAGGGAGGGAGGGAGGGAGGGAGGGAGGGAGACAACACTCTCTGCATCTTTAGGGTGTTCTTTTTAAATAGCAACCCCCTCCCCCTCCCTAGCCTCTCACCGCAATACTGATTTCTATGGTAAGCTCTTTTTGCATTTTAATCACTTTAGTTAATAGTAAAAAAAGTAAAGCAAATAATTCTGGTTTACTGGATACACTTTGTATCTATCATGCACATAAATATTTCAGACAGAAGTTTCATTGTCTGGATGACTGTTTCTGTTTCTCACTCCAGTGGCAATGGAACCAACAGACTAACCAGCGTGTTCTTTTGAATGTCAACAAACCTTCATTCGGAACTGGTGTCCAATCAATTCTGGAACATGTTTATAACAAGTGACATTATGACAATCAGGAATGACTGTATAGTAAAGGGTACCCACATGTAAGCATTGTGAGTCATAAGTCAAATTATACAAGAGTGTGGTGATACTGGTGAGTAAATAACCGGCAGCCTTCACATCTAGGAACTGAACCAGTGCCAGAAAGCCATCTGGATGGCAAACAGTAACATGAGCAGAATTCTAAATAGCTTACAGCTGTAGAAAAGGCACAATTCCAGACTCTGAACCTTTTAGTTATTTCTGTGTGCTGTCGTGTTTAAAATAAGTTATGATATATAAAAATTAACAGAGCATCCCAAAAGGCTGGCATTTCTCCCAAGCTATTTCAGGATTACTCCTTTGCATGCTGGTTTAAGTTGGTCTATGCAAGTATCTGTTTGTTTTATAGCTTTTATATGGAGACCAATGTTCCTCCTAAGCTATCCGGCCATAAATGACAAATGCTTCTGTGTGTATTTTTTATTATCCCTTCACTACTGACATAAACTGAAAATTTAACAACCAAGAGTAGGGAAATTCGTCCTTGGTGCCAACTCTTCTTTCACTGCCTATTCTCTAGAGCAGTGTTTTTCA